CTTCTGACATCAGATTCTTTCAGAAATGGACAAACACGAGAGTAAAGTGTGAAAAAACAAAGGAGAAGCCGGATAAAAAATAAAGGAGAAATGATTGTTTTTAGCAACCTAAAACATTACCAAACCGCCGTGTTTAACTATTATCATCGCCTTTTGGACTATTATGAACTTGAAATGACGGAATTACTCTCTAACAGAGGCTACATGTGCTGGTTAGCACATATTAAAAACACAGATAAGAGGTTTGCACTGACTGAGGGCTATATTTCACGTTGCTTTTAAAAGCAAATAAGGACTAAATATATGCTGTGTGTCCAGTGGCGTAGCGGACGGGCCCGCAGGGCACGCACCGCGGGGGGGCCCCGCGTGATTAGGGGGCCCCGCGTCGTCGCGATTTTCAATAAACTGTTGGGAACAACTGTGGTCGGAACCAAAGTTCACAGGTCTGTGTTCTCTGAACACCTCTCAAGCGGTGGACTACTTCATTCTGATTGCTTGCAGCCAATGTTGCCAACTTAGCGACTTTGTCACTAAATTTAGCGACTTTTCAGACCCCCCTAGCGACTTTTTTATGTGTTATTGGAGATTTTTTTAGACTGTCATTTTTCCATACTGTACCGTCCCTACTCTTCTCAACGAGCTGCGTGTGATGCCGCCGACCCCTCCCCCGCCTCACAGCACTGACAGGCGGCCCAGTCAGTCCTCAACAGCAGCCTCTCCCACCTGCAGCCCGAGAGCAGATCTGCTGTACCGACGACAAATGATTTAGCACAGGCAGTGTGAAGGTATTTCCCTTGTACAGTCAAACCGATCTACTTCTCCTTTATTTTAACAATTTATTTGGACCGTTAATTCTTTTCTTGTTCAAAATCACAGATATTTTAGTGACAGTTTCTGAACTTGTCTGAGTTTATTTCATATGAGAGATTACTGCACATTCACTAACGTTACACATCTATAATGATATACTGTATTCAAACAGCAATAAATGTAGTTAAATAAACATGCTTATATAAAGTGTAGTGCAATTATAAATACCCCTTTATTAACCATAGGCTGTTAAACAGAAACGGTAGAACGTTATGACGTCAGTGATATGCAAATTGACGTATGACGTATCCCCCCCCCTTCATCAGGGGGCCCCGTCAGCGATCCCTGCAGGGGGGCCTCCGCATTTTGCGCTACGCCACTGTGTGTGTCGTTTTTCTGTATTTAGTAACATATCAGAGACTGTGAGGGTCTGTATGTGTTCATATATGTTGCATTTACTTATTTAATTTATAAAATTGCTGACGTTACAGTAGGCTATTTCACCCTATAGTCGATCTGCAGTTTTCATGTTCATAAAAACATTTATACACAAGTTTTAACATGTATAAATCATCTGTTTTGTGAGAAGTGCTTCTCATACGATATGTGAACAACCCTTACAGCTCTACTTTTCCTCGAGAGAGAGAATGACGTTGACTAAAACTTTTTGTAGTACACCATGGCTACCAAAAGAGTACCATTTTAGCAGTGGAAACGCAAGCCTGATGAAGGTGACCAGTACCAACCCGTACCATACTGCACCACTCAGTGGAAACGGGCCATAATGGTGGACAGCTGCTTCTCACTCAGGGCTGTTCATGCTAATGATGAAGAGATCATCACTAATGGGCAGGGCTTTCCCCCACTGATGACACACCAAGGGGGAATGTCAATCAGAGTGTTTCTGCAGACTGTTTTTATCGAGTGTGATTATAAACAATGGAATGAATAGTTTTTTACCATTAGAGGCTAGATATATCTACCTCTTATAAACTGATTTCTGCATAGCAGGTCCCCTTTAAATACAGAAAAATTCAGATTTCTGTGACATGTCCCCTTTAACACACTGACCTACTTAACACAGGCCAGCCATGCACGCTTTCCTGATTTACCCAGAAGTCTTTATACACAGTTTGATGTCATGTTCACATTGTCAGCACAAATCGGGCTGTGATTTAAGCCTAGGATTGATGTCAAGTATATACTTGGTCATATCAGTGGATCTGGACTCACAGTTTATTGAGCTCGCTGGTGATTTGTGTGGAAACGTGCTGTGCATTTATGCTTTCTGGCGTTCAGACACATCACTCAGCCGAACTGTAATCCATTACGCCCAACCGGCTCCATTAAATTAGGCTGGATTGAATTTGCCTGTCTTGTTTTCTTCTCTCTTGTTGGTTCTTAAAGCGCATGCTGTCTGAGGTGATCATGCTAGTCATTTATACTTATTACTTTTTGAATGGATTTACTAGCCAGGCAATTTGATAGAAGTTACCGGTTTTAAAAAAAAAATTCTTGTTAAGTTTACATTGTGGTTTGGGATTGTTTACATTACATGCATATATGCAAATGAGATTTCACATCTGCACGACTGTTCAGAATGACATGTCTTATGCTCCTCAAGGCTGAAATATTACTACAATTTAAACTACGGTTTTAGATTTAAAGTTATTTTAAAATGTAATTTAATCATATGATGGCAGAATCGAATTATCCAACATTCTGAAAACGTAGCACTATATACATTTCTGGAGATCGCGAATTATGTAGCCAGAAGTAGGTATGGCTGCATTCGTCTTTAAAATGAATAAGGGTTTCGAGCTAGCAGCTGACCACTTGCCTCCGTATGGACGGCTTTACCGTTGTTACCAGTTTGTCCAGTAGCTCGCCTAGTATGTCGGCGGACTTGAGACGCAGAGAGGAGGTGACCATGACAATGGGGTTCGTACGATGGCCGAGAGAGCGTAACGCGCTGCAATTTAAGAAAGCACATGCAATTACACAAAACAACTGCAAATAAAGAAGCATTGGTCACAAATTGGTCACAACACAAACAACTGAAGAAACACACAGCAAATTGGTCACAACACTTGCAAATATGCACGAAACACAATGGAGATGTTTCTGGGGGACCCAAAAACATGACAGAACCTGCTGAGGTATGGATGTATTATTATGCTGTCACTGTTGCTCGGTGAAGTGATTGGTGGTCTGTGGAAGGTGAGTTGTTTTTCGTTTATTTTAATATCCTGATTACATGACCTAAATAAAAAAACACAATCATATCTCAGCAGGGTCTGTGATGTTTTTGGGTCTTCCAAATTTGCAAGTGTTGTGACTTTGCAGTGCATTTCTTCAGTTGTTTGTGTTGTGACCAATAAAACAAAACGGATGCCAAAAAATAAAATAAACAAGAAAAATAACAGGGTGAGAATGTGGTAAAATCTGAAAACATGGTCAAAATCAGGCGAGGGTTTTTCTTTTTCTGGATTGCTTTTTAAAACTGTCTGTTGGGTTTAAGGAAGTGGGTTGACAGGTCAATCGGTGCTTTTGAAAACACTTGGTTGGTTTTGGGAAAAGAGGAGGGTGGGTCAGTCGGTCAGTCAGTCAGTCAGTCAGTCAGTCAGTCAGTCAATCGACAGCAGCTTCTGGTGGATTTACACAAGAACAGCATGCGCAAATGGCACTTGTCAGAGAAATTTGAGATCTCAAAAAGCGTACACAGTGGCCTCTGGTGGATTTAAGCAAGAACAGCAGGCGTGAATGGCACTCGCGAGAGAAATTTGAGATCTTAAAAAGCGTACACAGTGACCTCTGGTAGATTTGTGAAAACAAAAACTGCAAAAAAAAAAAACATACCTCCTAGGATAGATTAGGTGCTCTCCAGAAATGTATATAGCGATACATTTTCAGTATGAGTCTGGGTTGTAATTTTTAGCATCCATAATGATAATAATAATAAAAATAATACAATTAAAAAAATGGATAAAAAATGATTTGGGTTTGTCTATTTAGTAAAGACTACAGTAAGATTGTAGATAACAAATATACAGACATTAATTTTATCCTAAAAATGTTTTGTTCATTAAAAAAATTTGTTTAAAACAATATATGTATTTGCCATTATTAAAATTCCTACTGTAGTTCAAAAGTTTGGGGTATGTTACTGTTTGTGTTTTTGTAAAGATATTAATACTTTTATTTATCAAGAATACATTAAACTGATAAAAAAGTAACCAAATATCTGTTTCCACAGAATATAAGATTAAATTATGTTTCTTGAGCAGCAAATCAGTAAATTGAACATTCAGCATGAGATCAACAGAATGAACAGCATTTTAAAAGACGTTAAATTAGAAATTGTTGTTTTAAATTTTAATAATATATTTTTTTTATTTACTGGCAGCACAGTGGTCAGCACTGTCACCTCACAGCAAGAAGGTCATTGGTTCGAGTCCTGGCTTGGTCAGTTGGCATTTGATGGAGTTGAGTTTGCATGTTCACCCTGGTTTGGTGTGGTTTCTTCCAGGTGCTCTGGTTTTCCCCACAGTCTAAAGACATGCGCTATAAGGAGAATTGGATAAACTGAATTGGACAGTGTGTATTAGTTATCAGTGTGTATGAATGTGAGTGTGTATGGGTGTTTCCCAGTACTGGGTTGCGACTGGGAGTGCATCTGCTGCGTAAAACATATGCCGGAATAGTTGGCGGTTCATTACGCTGTGGCGACCTGTGGCGAAATAGAAACTAAGCCGAAGGATTTTTTTTTACAGTATTATTGTTCAAATCAAATCCAATTAAATCTCTCATTGTTTTGAGGGATTGTTATGTGTTGTTTCTGAGAAAAAAAAAGCTGTAATCATGGTTGTAAAAAGTTTTGTGAATCATCAATGTTGGTCTGTCTTTTAAAATGACTTGCATCGCTTTTAAGTAATTGTTTTATTTTCTTGTCAAAGCCAGTTTAATTCACATTTCAATCTTGATTTGAGCTCACGGTATCATTTATACTCATCTATTATATCACAAAACTCTGACTATGAAAGAGAGAGTGGTGTATTTTAAACTCAAACTAAGCAAAGCAAGCCTTATTTTGGCCCAATCCTGCTCAAAGGAAACCAATAACTTCATTGGTTGTGCCAGACCATCGGGCATTTATTGAGATTCTACAAATCACTCTCTCTGTCTGTCAGGCTCATCTTCATCCAGTCCGCGGCTCCTAACCAAGAGTCTGTCCCTTGATCCAGGCCCCTGCCTCGGAGCCCACGAGACCCCACAGCGCCTCTGCTCTGACCCCGGACCCTTGGAACCGCAGCACTGCAATGGCACAAGTGAGAACGGCCCTCAGGACGTCCCACCTCCACCTCCCAAAACACGGCCACCTTTACCTGGGCCAAAGCCTCAAGGTGGGTTCTCTAAGGCTATGTTTACACAGTGATGTAGCCAAAAACGAGATGTTTTTTCTAGGGCTACACAATATAAATAGTTTCAGCATCGATATTGCAGTGTGCGAATCTACAATAGTTACATTGCAATGTCATTGCAAAACAGCAATGTTGAGTTGGGATTATAATTTAAACCATAGGGGCAAGTTTGTTGCTTCAAAGACAATTAATTGTAATTATTTACATAATGAAATCGGTAGTCAACATTTGAAGTTGAAGAAAAAACTGCATCAAAGTAAGAATTGGTAATGTTGAATAGTTTTAGGACGACTTTGATTTTTTGATCCAGTCTTGATCGAGGGTTATTCTACATTTGATTATTTTCTTGCTGTTCCTTAATACTGAAAACAATAAAGCACTAAGTACATTTACATGGACACCAATAGTCCAGACACCCCAAGTTACGAAAAGTCATTTCTGGGGGAGAAAGCAATGATTTCCAGGAGGTTGACGTATCTGAAGGGGACGTATCTGAAGAGCGGAGGGGTTGCACAGAGAGGGGTGGGGGGTGCGGCAGAGAGGGGTTGGCAAAGTATTTGAGGACCAGGTGTGAGATGTGCGATTATCATTATAATTATATCCGGGAGATTATCATTTGTTTGTGAGCATCCGGGAGTCTCTATGTATTAGCGGGAGATTCCTGGAACCAGAGGATGTCTGAATAATCCGATATTAATACTATCAAGACAATACTCTGATTAAGAGTCTACCATGTAAACAGCGATTTTTGATTAATTTAATCCAACTAAAGCCACAATCGAACTAAACAGAAATCGAGTTAAGGCATGTGGAGTATGTCGATTTTAGTCGCATTATTAAAGTGCAGTACAGACATGAAACACCACAATCAAACTATTACTATCGTCAAAGTCTCTTTGAAGCAAGTAATTTCACTTTCACGTTTTTAATAATTTCCCAAAAGTTGATCATCCATACTGAAATGACTGAAAACACAGTGGCTGTACTGAGTATGCGATAAGGTGTTCATTAACTTTTCAGCTCTTGGAAATGTTGCAGCAATATGATGAGGAAAAGTTTTGTTTTTTTAAATTGGATTAACAGTGCGATGGAGCTGTTTCTGTGAGTAACACAGGAGTATAAAAGTTGCAGAAGCATGAGAGACATTAGACTGAGAGACATGCCAAAACAAGTAAGCTCTAAGTAAACATTGTCTTTTGAAGAAAAGAAATTTTGAGCATGTACAGAGTGAAATTAATCTTTAACAATGCTGTCAAATAGAGAACATCCAAAACAAGTGCTGTACAATGTCATCCACCATTTTAGCTGAGCTGGTCACGTGACTAAAATGCATTTGAAGTAGGGAAATGTTCTCGAGCCAGGATTCAAACTCGGGACACCCTGATGTGCTACTATGCACTATATGTCATTGCAGTAACCACTAGGCTACTGCGCCGACCAACTTTCAGTATTTGATGTCAATATGACATTGGTTTAAGATGTTGGCTCAACGTTGAATTTCAGTCGTCCAACGCAACCTAAAATCAACCAATTATCAACATCATTTGATGTCATTATTGGACAACAAAATAATGTCATTATACACTGACTAGACATTGAATTTTGGTCACCCGACTTCACCACCTAAATCGAACCTAAAATTAACGTCTTACATCAACATAAACTGCTGTTGAAGTTAGCAGGGAGAGTTAACCTAAAATTAAACATCACCCTCTGTAAAGATTCGCCTAACTAACAAGTTGATACAATTTACCATACTGATCTCACAATATATATATATTTTTTTTTACAAAATTAGCTGACAATTTAGAAATGAATAGAGGCCTTTTTTATTTCTCAAATGCTGCACGTTTATTTGTAAAATTAAAATATATTTTGTTAAATAAGACAACTAAACTACATTTTTAAATGAAATTCATCAAATAAAAATATATAATTCAAATAAAATACCTTTAATTTAAACAATCTAACTCTAACTTTTCTTATCTTGTTTTTATGTTTATATTTTATTTTTTTAAAGATAAGATATAAAGATATGTATATATCTTTGTTTTTATAAAATAATATATGAATTGTTAATTGTATTTTGTTTACCCTTTATTTAACCGAAACAGACTCTCTGAGATTATTAGTCTCTTTAGCAGGAGTGTCCTGGCCAAAATGAACAAAAAAGATTTTACAGACTTCACAGGACAAACATTAAGAATACCTAAAAAAAATACAAATCATAGAAACACCCTCCGTTTGCTGAGCAATTCACTTAAAATTATCCAAAGAGACCCATTTTTGTTACTTAGACTGAAGAGTATTAATATACGTTAAAGCCTTCTTAGCCAGTTAAGTGCGAACAAAAGGAACAGAGAGAGTATTACAATTCTGAACTGCTGTATTTCAAATTTAATGGAGTTTAATGTGGAGTACAATGATAAGTAATTTTTTTCTGATTTAAATAAGCATTTCAGATCATAACAAGCGTAATAAATGTAGTAATGCATACATTTTTTCTGTTTTCTCGTTATTTTAATGTAATTTAATGAAATAAATATATATGTAATATCAATATATTTTTTAAATAACCAAAATGAGTGAATGATTTGAACTTTTATTACTATAACAATAGTAGTGCATGTTTTGTAATGTACATAAAGGATATACAAAACCTTTATCTATCTACATAGAAGTCATTATTATTTTAATATTATCTGTATTTTAAATTGACCTCATGAACCAATTAATTGTGATATAAAATACAATATGCAATTAGGATGCATACATAAAAGTACAGTCTCTGCTGATGTTCCAGTTAATATCTGTGTGTCTCTCTGTGTTGCGGTCATGTGATTGTGCACCAGTCTCACTTTATTGATTTCTGTATTGATCTTGTCTCGTTCAGTGCCCCCGAAACCCCCTCATCTACAGCAGCAGAACGCTCGACGGCCCCGCCCCCCAGACAAGCCCCTCCCACCGCCACCACCATCCCGCCCACTGCCAGCCGACCCCCGCCAATCACGTGCCACCATGCCGAGGGCAGAGGGAAGCTCCTCCCCCACTTGTGTCCTTTCGCTCATCGAGAAGTTTGAGAGGTGAGAAAGCAACACAAACAGACATTACTGTACGGTTTATTATTCATAACTACAGTCAGTCATGAGTGATGATATCTCCGTTTGTTGATCATAGGTAAGCTCATTTTCATTTGTTTTATGTGCGATTGATTTGCTGAATTTTAATGGGAAGAGGTAGCCACTGTTTTTAGTAGTACTAATGCTGTTTAATGTTTGTCTTAAATGTATGGTATAATATATATGTTGCAAATCTATTATGCTGCAGAACAAATCACCCCGAAAGGGGACAATAAAGTTTACAGTAATATATTAAAATATTAAAAAATATTATATTAAAAATATTTATTATATATATATATATATATATATATATATATATATATATATATATATATATATATATATATATATATATATATATATATATATATGTAAACAAGAGACTAAATCTTTCATTTTGCTGAAGAAAATTTTTTTAGTTTTAGTTATTATATTATATTATATTATATCATATTATATTATATTATATTATATTATATTATATTATATTATATTATATTATATTATATTATATTATATAATTTAAAAGCATAATCATATAAAATATATATCACATATATAAAATAAATAATATATTATATAAAATACAGATATTTATATCAAAACATAAAAAATTATAATATATATTCATATCAAAATGAATAGTTCAAGTCAAAATATTAAATGTGATTTAAACAAAATGTACTTTTTGTACTTTTTCAGAGATTATGGCTATTTTGGTAATAAAATGGCTAATAATAATAATGATGATAATAATATATTTTTTATTTACTTTTGTTTTAAATTTAAGGTAAATTAAGATACAATTAAGAAGCATAAAATATTAACACTTTCCAGACAATATAACTATAGATTAACTAAAGGTAAAGGGAGATGTGAGTACAGTTGCATAAGAAATTCATTCTTTTTTTTAAGCATAACTATTATATAGATATAAAATTTAGTAAATCGTTTGTTACTTGAGCTATTTAATTCTTGCAAAACAAAATGTATCGAAGGAGCAGTTTGTCCTGGGATATCTTGACTTTTTTTTGGGAATGTTTCAGTAAATTTTTTAATTTAAGGTAAAACAAAAAAGTAAGTAGAATTGCAGATATTAATACAGATATTAATACTTTTTTCTTATTGTTAGCATGAATCTTACATTCTTATTTACATTATATTTATATTCTTTATCTCATATCATATTTCTTTAATATGTTTGTATTTATTTTTAAGTCTTAAGCAAATTAATTTAATCTTATTTAATATAGTTTAGTGTAAAAAGGTTTTCAGTGACAAAAATATATATTATTTACATTTATTTTTATATTTATTTTATTAAAATGAGTTTATTTAATACATTTTATTCAGCACAAACATGTGTTTATTACATGTGTTTTAGATATTTGTAAATACACATATCAAAAAATGTTTCGCGAAGTCATCCACAATATATTTATTTGTGCTTTTTTTGTGTTTAATATTCAGGGAGCAGATAATTGTGGTGCCAGATATCACTGGGGGCGTGATGTGTACCCCGCGGGTCCCGGATCAGCAGGCCACTCCTGGGTCACTTAGTCCTCAAACATCAGAGTTTATCCTGCCCTGCACATCCCTTCAGGAACCTCTAGAGGCGCCGCTGGCAGAGGACGAGCTTGAGAAAGAAGAAAAAGAGGAGGAAGAAGAAGAAGATGTAGACGAAACTGAAGAAGATGACAGCGAGCTTGGGGCGTCCTGCTCAGATAAGCGTCTTTCCATGGAATCAGGCTACGGCGCTTCAGATAAACTGCTGGACAACATGGAGATGACAGCCAACCAATCAGAAATCCCCTCTGACCGATTGTCCCTCCCCCCAGCGCAGATGGACGGGAAGCTGGCCAATCGGGACAGCGGAATCGACAGCATCAGCTCGCCTTCACACAGCGAGGAGCTCTGCTTTGTTGGGGACGAGGATCGGGTCGGTCATGAGCGGGAGATTTGTCCGTGTAGCCCAGGACCAGGGATTTCATGTAGTTATGTGGAGGGTCCCGATGAAGAGGGGGCCGGCGGGGAGGAGGCTGGCAGAGACTCAGAGGGAGACAGTGATCTGGAGGAGGGCAGTGGAGACGAGAGCGAGATGAACCCCATGGCTCTACAACCTCTGCCCAAAGCTGAACGACAAGACTCCACTGAGGTCAGAAGGGTGCTTTGTTAATGCCATATACCATATCTACATGGCTATACTCACAGTGGAATAAGTAAATGTTGAACATGTGTGGTTTATTTATAAAATAATTTCGAGATGATCACATGCTTATGATCAACACGGCTGGCACCTCTGTAATCTGCTCTATAATAGAGCATTATAAATAACCAAAATTTTTCACTCCGGTTATCTTCGTCTTGAAGCTTCCCCCCTTCCACTCCTACTTCCCACCCTTTTTTTTCGATATGGCGACACGGTGGCCCATTGGCTAGCACTGTTGCCTCACAGCAAGAACACCGCTGGTCCAACCTCCCATCAGGCCGATTGGCGTTTCTGTGCGGAGTTTCTATGCTCTCCCCATGTTTGCGTGGGTTTCCCCCGGGTTCCCCGGTTTCCTCCCACCGACCAAAAACATACACCATAGCCTATCAACTAAACCAAGTTATCACCCAGGACAAACTTAGTTTACACTTCTCACACGGCGACAAGCAGGGGAGTTCTCGAGACCCACCTGAGCTCGAACTCCCCTCTCGACCCTTCTGACGGGAGGGAGCCCCAGGCTCGAGGATATTACGAGTTCAGGGCTCTCTCCCGGGATAGCATGACAATTCAGCTCTATTGATTATAAGCCAAGTGTGAACTCTCGAAGTCAGCATTTTTCTCAGAGAACATATTTCTAAAGGTGCTGTTGACTTGAAATTTTCACCGGAGGTTGATAACAACCAAAACAATCTGTATATGAAAAGAAAACAAATCTAATTAATTTACAAATTAAGTTATGCTAAATAAAATGAAATGACGCAGGGAAAAAGTATTGAACACATGAAGAAAGAAAGGTGTAGAAAGACTAGACAGCAGCTGAAATATCTCAGTAGTTCTTCAGCAACCCTCTGCACTTCCTCATTGGAAATGAATGTCAGCTGCTTCAGTCCAACATCTACATTATAAGGTATTATAAGTTGATAAAAGTTAAAAAGTATTAAAAGTTGGTAAATCAGTCAGCGCCAGTGGTACAGTGGTTAGTGAGTCAACACATGCACTCCGGTGCTCGTGGTGACCTGAGTTCGATTCCACCTCGTGGTCCTATGCAGATTTTTTTCCCCTCTCTCTGCTCCTCATGCTTTCCTGTCAATTCTCTCTAATGTCCTATCGAATAAAGGTGAAAACCCCTAAAAAATAATTGAAAAAAAGTTGATAAATCAATGAAGAAAAATTTAGGGCCCTTAAAAAGCATTTAAAAAGTCTTAAATGCTATTTTGCATGTCATAAAATGATATATAATTTTTGATTATGCAATGTTGTGTGCTAAAGTTTGCCTGAATTAAATCTACGAAAAACAGCAATGTTTTCTCTAGGATTTTTTCCAGCTGTGGCGGCAGACCTTTTACTTAAATCTACCAATTACCTATGCCGTTATTTCAATGACAAATGGAGAAATGTTGTGAGCGCAGTATTAGTCGAGATCGCATTTATTTAATACGAGCATGCAAATCTTTTGGCTTGCGCGCCGATTTCCTCTGCACAAAACCTCTTGCACTCCCCCTCAAATATACGCTGCTCAAGCGCAGATCTTCTTGTGCGCTCTCAAATAAACACTGCTAAAGTGCAATTTAGCGTGTTTATGTAGTGAGTATGTGTTCAACATTTATTAGATTTGCTTGGAATATTTATGAATGTCTCCAGGACACATCAATGCCGCTCTGTAGGCCTATTGAAGTAAAGTGAAACGGCCATAAACTCCAGCAAGCTAAAGTCATTATATGCAGAGCCACAGACCTTTATCTATAAATAAATTAAAATTATGGAAACTGTTTTCATCCTGGACGAGGCAGTGGCGCAGTAGGTAGTGCTGTCGCCTCACAGCAAGAAGGTCGCTGGGTCGCTGGTTTGAACCTCGGCTCAATTGGCATTTCTGTGTGGAGTTTGCATGTTCTCCCTGCCTTCGCGTGGGTTTCCTCTGGGTGCTCCGGTTTCCCCCACAATCCAAAGACGTGTGGTACAGGTGAATTGGGTTGGCTAAATTGTCTGTAGTGTGTGTGTGAATGTGTGTGTGGATGTTTCCCAGAAATGAGTTGCGGCTGGAAGGGCATCCGCTGCGTAAAAACTTGCTGGATAAGTTGGCAGTTCATTCCGCTGTGGCGACCCCGGATTAATAAAGGGACTAAGCCGACAAGAAAATGAATGAATGAATGTTTTCATCCTAAGTGAAAACTATGTTGTGTTTGCTGGCCTCACGCACCACACGTCAGTGAGTCAGTCAGCACGTAACCTCAAAAGGTTAAACAAATGACGCACAGCACTACTACGATTACAGAAAAGTTTTCCTTGTTCTAACTAACTTACCTGTCAATAAGTTTTAGTGCGATTATAACATGCTATTAAAAACGACAACAACAATGACTGAATGTTTTAAATGAGAAGCTTTAATGTAGCCATGGCGGGATGCAATTTGGTGTGTCGCTCCGCCATGGAAGAAGGAATGTAGCGGAAACCATGTGTCCAACTGGCTGAATTAGCCAGGTTTAATAGATTTTCATTATATAATTAATGATTTAGTTTTGGATTAGTTTCTTACATTAATATTTAGTAAATATTAGGGTTGTCATGATACTGCATTTCGGTACAAATCGTTACTGAAATTTAAAAAACGTCCATTTCTCGCTTACATTTGAGCGTTGTTGAACATGTTCGTAAACAGCGCTGATTTGCCATTGTGTTCACGTGTTCAACAGAAATGACTGTGATTGGCCGTGAAGGTCATCAGTCCACCAAACTCACCGCCATTTACTGAGTGTAGTGGACCCTTTTCCCAAGCCCGTTATGACATGTTTAACGGTCATCAGCATCTTAAATCCTTAAAAGTTTTTAATATTTAGATTTAAAAAAAACGTATGAATATTTTATGTATTTCTGTATGTATTGTATCATCTTTGTCTGAAATTACAAAAAATTAATAACCGCTTAAGCCAGGTGTTTCTAATGCAGTGTCTATGGAATTAGGCAGTAAATTTTTATGTTATTTTCTCCTCTGACTGCCATCTTCAGTCTCACACAATTTTTTTTCTTTATCTGGAAGTCTTGATCACACCATCGTGGAGTTTTTCTATTATTATTTTAGAAAACAGGATGTAAAAAAAACATTTGATGTACTCTCCAATTCACTGAGCTGTAAGTTTACTCAACTAAGACAACTTCAGCTACTGAGACACCCGGAAATGTGAAAAGGGTCTATCACAGAAGCCCTAGAAATGATCGATTTAAAAGTGAGATGAATGTTAGGGTGTACTCGTTTATGCTGTGTTCTGTATACGCACACACAGTTGGGAGAATCAGACCATCATTTATTCACTCTTCAGTCCAGCTTCTTGTCACAGATGTGCAGGTATGTTGAAACCTGTTGTTGTCTGGCAGATGTCGGTCCAGCAGCGGGTGTTCAACATTGCTAATGAGCTCCTGCATACGGAGAAGGCGTATGTGTCCAGACTGCACCTCCTGGACCAGGTGTTCTGCGCTCAGCTGATGGAGGAGGCTCGAGCCCGCAGCTCCTTTCCCTGTGAGATGGTCATGGGCATCTTCTCCAACATCTGCTCCATCTACTGCTTCCACCAGCAGTTCCTGCTGCCCGCGCTGGAGAAACGCATGGAGGAATGGTGAGGGATGCATTTACAGTTGAAGTCAGAATTATTAGCCATCCTGTATATTTTTACCTCAATTTCTGTTTAATGGAGAGAATTTCTTTTAACACATTTCTAATAACTGATCTTTGCCATGATGACAGTAAATAATATTGGACTAGATATTTTTCAAGATACTAGTATTCATCTTAAGCAAGTTTGGGTAAATAAGCAAGTCATCGTATAACAGTGGTTTGTTCTGTAGACTATCGAGAAAAAAAAATAGCTTAAAGGGGCTAAAATGTTGACGTTGAAATGGTTTAAAAACATTTAAAACTGCTTTTATTTTTGCCCAAATAAAACAAACAAGACTTTCTTCAGAAGAAAAAATATTATCAGACATACTGTGAAAATTTCCTGAATCTGTTAAACATCATTTAGGAAATATTTGAAAATGAAAAAAAAAACAAACAGGAAGGCAAATTAATAAATATTGACCTATGTCAGTATACATGCAGAATAAAACTGGGTTAATATAGCCAAATTTATATAAATACAACACATTAGATAAAGCCCTTCCAGCTGCAACCCAGTACTGGGAAACACCCATACACTTTCACATTTACACACATACACTACGACCAATTTAGTTTATTCAATTTATCTATAGCACAGGTCTTTGAACTGTGGGAGAAGCACCCGGAGGAAACCCACGCCAACACGGGGAGAACATGCAAACTTCACACAGAAATGACAACTGGCCCAGCTAAGGCTCAAACTAGCGACCTTCTTACTATGAGGCAATTCTGCTACCCAGTACGCCATTCTGATGCCCTTTATATTATATTATATTATATTATATTATATTATATTATATTATATTATATTATATTATATTATATTATATTATACTATTTTATAATATGTTATTTTATTCTATATTATATTATATTATTCTATATTATGTTATTATATTCTATATTATATTATATTATATTATATTATTCTATATTAAATTATATTATATTATATTATATTATATTATATTATATTATTTTTTTTCTTATTGTTGCTTATTAATTACACACTTTTAGTCTTGTTTTTTTATCATTTTAAAAATATTTTTAATAGTAAATATAATTAGCCTACTAATAGGATAATACTGACATTAAACTGATATAATATGATGTGTTTAACTTTTTAGAAGTGTAGTTAACAGGGGCTCATATAATCTGAGTTTGAATTACAATTTTTTGGACATATTTGGAGGATAAAGTAAACAACAGTTTCAAATTATCCAAACAAATAGAAGCCGGGTATGTGTTTTTATAAACTAGTCTTTAGTTAGAAATGTTGCCGTTTTGTAAGGGGAAGTGTGACCTTTTCTAAGAGATTGGACAAAAACGATGAATGAACCTTGACTTGTGCTCCTCTCTCCTCAGGGATCTGAACCCCCGCATCGGGGACATCCTGCAGAAACTGGCGCCTTTCCTGAAGATGTACGGCGAGTATGTGAAAAACTTTGACCGGGCGATGGAGCTGGTGAACACCTGGATGCAGCGCTCATCCCAGTTCAAAACCATCATTCACAACATCCAGGTACACCAGAGAATGCTTTCTGCTAAACTAAGCATGTAGTGCTGCGTAATTAAACAAAAAACTTGTATAAATACTCATATTGTTGTTTAAACTGCAACGGAATGATTTATATTTTTGTGATGTGTTTTAAAGGGGACCTATTATACCCCTTTTACAAAATGTAAAATAAGTCTCTTATGTCCCTGGAGTGTGTATGTTTAGTATTGGCTCAAAAAACCACACACATAGGGCCCTATTTTGACAATCCATGCGCAAAGTGCAGAGCGCAGGGCGCAAACGCATTCAGGGCATGTCAGAAACCACTTGTCAAAATTACGCTTTACGCCGTGGCGCATGGTCTAAAAGGGTTGAGTTTATTTTCTTAATGAGTAAAACGTGTGTTTTGAGAATAAACCAATCAGACTCCCATCTCCCATTCCCTTTAAGAGCCAGTTGCGTCGCGCCATAGCGCATTTGCTATTTACATGACGACTTTGTAAGTGGAAAAACTGAGCGTTTCACTAGCAAGAAAACAGATAAACAGAGCATCTGCAGCGCGAGAATGAGAGATAAGGCCTCATCATTATCTGCTTTCACTTTCGCTCTCGTGGATAGGGAAACCTTGTACGCACAGACATCAAATAGCCTATAAATAATTAATTTTGTTTGTTAAGCGCAAACATTTGTTTCAAAACTATTTCTAAATTCAGTTCTAATTTCCAGCAAACGAATAAATGAACAATAATAACGAAGTGTGCTCAAAAAACTGAGTTATATCCAAATACACATGCTGTGCCCCATATACTCTAAAACCTGCAGGTGGACAAATCTAAGCTTGTTTTTAATAAAACAAATATAAATATGCAGATAATAAATAATCGTGCTAATACAAATAACATTATACAAATGCAAATTGTCATGAATAAACTGAAAGGTGAAGAATGCATGGAGGCAGTGCTTTTATATTTATGTAGAAAATAATAATCTTCGTAACATTTTAATCCTATATGTAAAGATATTTGTGTATTGCTGTTTATCCAGTGTTTTAAGTGTTTTGACCGGCATAGGCACATAACTAAGACGCTCTGCAATAAATTTTAGACCAGCTTTCAGTTGGTCAATGGCACAGTCTATTTTAGTTCCTTAAAGGGCACATAGTTTACCCCTTTTTTATGATTTAATATTAATATTATGGTTCTTCTGAGTGTGCCAGTTTAGGTTCAGTTCAAAACACAGTTCAGTTTTTTTATTGTAATGTGTTTAAAAGTGTTATTTTGAGGGCGTGTACACACGTCGCTGTTTTAGGGGTGTGTTGCTTCACATGAAAATTAGTCTCGACTTCCCGTCCAGTGTAACAAAGGGGTGAAGCCAAGAGCTCCCCCACTCTGTGTTTGGCAACAGACAGGCAGACAGAGAGAAGCAACATGAGTGAGAGGACCAGCATTCAGCTGTACGCCTTGGACACAGACCAAGCAGAGAGTACACAATAATTTGTGTCTTTGTATAGTTTTACAGCCAACTGTGTGCTAGTTTAAAGTTCCGAGCTTGTACACCGAGACTTATAACCACGCACACTGAATTAACTTTGACTGAGGCACCGGATGCGCCGCTCAGAGCCGTGATACGGCACACCAGACACGCACATTTGCTTGTTATTTAAAATGAAACTATTCAGATGATGCTCTGTGAAGCGGCAGAAATATGAAGTGTTCTGAATCGTGGCTGGGCGTCGCAGACAGCCACCGACTTGAAGCGCTGTTGTGTGTACCCTTAGAGAAACCTATGTTTAGAATTCTGAAATGCATGCAGCTGCGTGGCGTGACGCTATGCGCCGCCATGCAGGTCTTCTGGTGTGCGACCTGCTGGCAAGTTTATTTTATTTCCAATTGAGGGCTGCACACGTGAGGCATCGCGCTCGCACTTTCCAGCTGCACCTAGTTAAGATCACAGGGAGCTCCCGTGGCCGCGAGAAATGCAAACGGTTGAAGTTTAAGATAGACGCAATGAAAAGTGCACATGTTTGCAAACCTACCTAAAGTTAGAAACAATGGCTCTGATGAGAGCGATAATGTAATGAATTATGAGTTTGTTTTGAGCTTAATGAGCCTTACATCTAAAAATAGAGCAAGGGTGTTCCTTTTGTGACATTGCTTTGACTCACACGCTGAAAATGGCGGACGTGAATCAACAAACTGAGGATATGGTATTACACGCCTGTATTGGTGGGTGGGGGAACCGCACTCCTATTTTTTCCGATCTTTCCTATTTTTTCCGATCTAAAAAAAGGTCCATTCCCTAGTAGCAAAGAATTCTGGCCCAGATTTGGCATAAAGCTGGCACAGCAGGCATTCATCCGGCACTGGCATACAGCATGTGGGCCAAACATGGCCCGGGTTTGGCAGAGGTGGTACCGTCTTTAAGGTGGCACACAAGATTTGGGCCAGATGAAAAACGTAGTATTTGGCCCAGATTTAAAAATTTGAAAGTGGGCCATGTGAGTTTGGCCAGTCTTGACCCACATTTAAAATACACTAAAATCATTTTTGAGTAAAGAAAAAAAATTCTACCAATCAGGTCACTTTGAGAAAAAGCATGCCCATAGTGTGCCTAAAGCGCATCACTCCATGGGTTTATCAATTTCATTGCAATCGTGACACACCAACCTATCTGGCCCAGTTCAGGTCCAGTTATGAGTTATTAACTTGGCTGAGACTTGGCCCAGATATGGTCCGTGTTTGGCCCTTGTCTGGAAGCCAGATTTGGTCCAGTCATGTACCGTAATTCACTGCAGCATGTGGGCCAAGCAAAACCTGATTGTGTGGGCCAGAGCTGGGCCAGAGAAATTTTGCTATGTGGGTTTGGTTCACCGTTTTTATGTTGTTAAATTGAAAAAAAAAACACTCTGTGTGTTTATATCACCCCAATGATATACACTATACTTACACACGTCTGTTTAAACAGTTTGAAAAGTGGATTTTTTACAATAGGTGCACTTTAAAATATCAATGCCAACAATGCGCCTCAAACACACCTCCTTTATAAACCGGCACACCCATGAGTTCACAAATGTCACAAATGGATTTGCAATTTAAACTATGTGGCACAAAACATGAAAATTACTGTTGTGCTGGTCTAAAAAATAGCTACAAATCGTGTCAATTACATCTTGCGCCTTATTGTGCCGGGTGTATGATAAGGGCCTAAGTAAGAAAAGCATTTTTTTTCCAGTATTTGCATTTATGTAGCTGCTTTTGTCACAAAAACAAACCAAAAATGTTTGAACTATAGGAGAAAAATGCTAAGAAAAACAACAGAAAACATGAAAATAACCACAGTTGGATTTATTGCCCAAAGTGAAAAGATTTGTACAGTGAAAGAATAATAAGAATAATGCTGAAATGCCATTTAATGTAGAGGCAGTCAGATGCGTGGAGCACTGTTGAGGAAATCACACTCTCAGCCTAAATGTGTGAAAATGAGAAACTCTCTTCGCTGTTAATTGTGAGCAAGCCTGCATAATTCACACCCGTTGACCGAATGAAGCAGCAGAATCACCTTCACAGCCGCAGACAGGGGTGCAGTAGTGCTGGGAATGGGACTCTGCCATGATTGAGTGCGTCAGATGAAAGAGTGAATCGCTGTGGGTGCAGGAGTGTTTTTGGGGCAGATGTAGGTTCTGGTGAATACTAATGGTGGCCCAATCAGGCTTCAAACATCTCTGGTTGCCAGTGTGTGAGGAATATTAAGTGCTGGCGTCTGAGATCACAGGACGGCTGTAAGGAGATCAGGCACGGTGCAGGTTTCATCACGCTATATGCCTGTTCTCTGATTCTCCGGATTTTTCTCGGCTGTGTTCAGAGAGTTTGAATGATTGTTAAAGACAACATGAAACAGCATTCATTCAGCACTTTCACTTTTCATTGCATTTCAGAGTGAAACTAGCATTTAGGGGGAAATAATGTACTGTGAGGCTTGTTTTTTTCCAAGTGTGATTTAGTTTCAGTGTCTGAAAATAAATATTGGAAACCTCTAGTGTGTTTTAAATATTACATTTTGTGAAAAGCCATATTAAATATATTAAAAACGAGTACTGTCAAACAGTTAATTGTATCCAATATAACAGGTTCATAGGGTGACTCGAGGCTCAGTGGTTCGCACTGTCGCCTCACAGCAAGAAGGCAGCTGGTTCGAGTCCCAGCTGGATCAGTTGGCTTCTCTGTGTGGAGTTTGCATGTTCTTCCCATGTTGGTGTGGATTTCCTCCGGGTGTTCCGGTTTCCACCACAAGTCAAAAAAACGTGTTATACTGTAGGCGAATTGGGTAAGCTAAAAGTGTCCGTAGAGTATGTGTGTGAATGAGTTTGTTTGGATATTTCCCTGTGATGGGTTGCAGCTGGAAGGGCATCCGCTACGTAAAACATCTACTGGATAAGTTGGCGGTTCATTCCGCTGTGGCGACCCATGATTAATAAAGGGACTAAGCTGAAGGTAAATTAATGAAGTAAATAAAAGTTCATATTTACAAAATATGTTTCTTGCGTACTGTGTATAATTTTGTGTAAATAAATGTGTTAATGACTATAATGTAATTAATATTTATGTATAAAACAATTGAATTCAATTTATTTATAAAGCACTTTAAAACAACACAGTCGACCAAAGTGCTGAAAACAGAGAGTAACACAAACTTACAAATAAATAAATATAAAATGTCAACATCTCGTGCTGTGTCAAAAGCCAAATTGAACAAGTGGGTTTTAAGAAGAGATTTAAAAACAGTAATGGAGGCTTGTCTAATATACAAAGGCAACTCATTCCACAATTTTGATGCAGCCACAGCAAAAGCCCGATTCCCTATGAGCTTTTGATTGGTCCTGGGCACACCCAGGAGGAGCTGGTCAGCTGACCTGAGCGAACGAGAAGGTGTGTAAAAACAGAGAAGCTCAGAGAGGTAAAGGGGTGCAGTACCATTTAGACACTTAAAAACAAATAAAAGTAACTTAAAATGGATCCTGAAATGCACAGGCAGCCAGTGAAGAGAATGTGAAGAGGAAGGTGATGTGCTTGTATTTGTGTGTGCCAGTTAAAAGACATGCAGCTGTATTCGGAAGTTGCAGACGAGAAATAGAAGACTGACTCACCCCAAAATAAAGGGCAAGCGGGAGGTTATAAAAGCATGGATTACTGTTTCAAAGTGCTTGTGTGATAAAACGTGCTTAATTTTGGCCATTTGTCTTAAGTGAAAGAAGCTAGAGAATACAAATTATTTATAAATATGTAAATATATTTAATTTGTATATTTTTGTATTTTATGTACAGTATGTGTGTATATTTACTCACACACACACACACACACACACACACACACACGATGGGTTGCGGCTGGAAGGGCATCCACTGCGGTTCATTCCGCTGTGGCGACCTCGGATTAATAAAGGGACTAAGCCAACAAGAAAATAAATGAATAAATGAATATAGATATACATAAATAGACACAGTACACATGTATATACAGTATCATGTAAATACAAACTTCTATCTTGGATGCAAGTAATCATTAAACAGCACACAAAATAACATGTCACACTAGTAACCGCATAGCAAAATGCTTAATAAATAGTAAAATTATATCTTAATATTTTTAAAAAGCAATTATTACTAAATATTATTACTAAATATATATGATACATAATATATATATATGCTTCATTATTGTTAAATTTTATATAATGCAAAAATTTTTATTTGAATGTAAAATATGTAGTTTAAAGCTTAAACAACTATTTATATGTACTTTAATATTATTTAAATAAGTATTACATTATATTATATATATATATATATATATATATATATATATATATATATATATATATATATATATATATATATATATATATATATATATATAATATTAATGTAGAGGAGGTGCCGTGGCTCAGTGGGTAGCGACGTCGCCTCACAGCAAGAAGGTTGCTGGTTTGAGCTTTGGCTGGGTCAGTTTGCATTTCTGTGTGTGGTTTGCATGTTCTCCCCGAGTTGGTGTGGGTTTCCTCCAGGTGCTTCGCTTTCCCCCACAGTCCAAAGACATGCGCTATAGGTGAATTGGGTAAACAAAATTGTCCTTGTGTATGCGTGTGAATGAGTATGGGTGTTTCCCAGTGATGGGTTGCAGCTGGAAGAACATCCGCTGCCTATAACATATGCTGGATAAGTTGGCAGTTCATTCAGCTGTGGTGACCCCAGATTAATAAAGGGACTAAGCCGAAGAAAAAATGAATGAATTTTAATATAACTCTTTAGTGTATACTGATATAATACTTTACAATATAAATTTATGGTTTAAAATATAAAACATATTTATATAATAGCACAATAAAAAAAACTCATATGTTGTGTGATCTTTATATATAGTGTGGACTTGATGAATTCATGTTGTCCTGAAGGAGTCCTATAAATATTCTGTAATGAAAATATCCTGCATCAGTGTGTGAAGGGATCTGTGCATGTTCTCTTTTCACTCATAGTGTGATTTTGGGTGTGTGTTGCAGAAAGAGGAGATGTGTGGGAATCTCACCCTCCAGCACCACATGTTGGAGCCTGTGCAGCGAATCCCTCGCTACGAGCTGCTGCTCAAAGACTACCTGCACCGGCTGCCAGAGGACGCAGACGACTTCAAAGATGCCCAGAGTGAGTGCACTTCATCCTTACCCTGACCTGCAATATAACCAGGGTGCGAATTACAGGGGGGTTGGGGAGGACTGACACCCCAATAACGCTTTATCCCACTTGAAGAACGTCAAAACAAGATGTAGCCATTTAAAACCAAGCCATTTAGTACCAAGAAATAGTTTGCTCTGATCTGTTTTTAAATAATAATGTTAATAATCAAAATAAGAGATATAAATATACATTTGACCACCCCTGTTATGGTTCATACCATTGTGAATGCATAATCACTGCGAACAACAGTTTGAAACTGCAGATTTAGCGCATTGATAGACATCGTAAGTCTTCACAAGTTTGTTTTGCTATTTGTTTTGCTCACAATTGCTGTTTGTTTCTACATATAGCCTGAAAGTAGTCAAATTAGACGCATAGTTTGTAAAGTCTGACCTACAGTAACATCTGAAACAGCTAATCAGAGGATACTGTAGGTCAGAATACACAAAATATCCCTTAAGACACTGAAAACTTAAATATGTTTAGTTAAAAAATTAGAAGTCATTTAAATAAATACATGAATGACTGAAGCATGCGTTACCCAAACAATGACTATATCCCTGATGATCAATGTATAATTTGCACACTCATTTGAACTGAAATAAACTAAACTTAAACTCTGAAATCTGGACTTTACTAGAATTTCTATTATAAAAGCGCTTTATAAATAAACATGAATTGAATTGATTATAACCACTCCTGTATCAGCCTGGAAAGATTTCAGAGGAAAGATTAATGCAAGGTTAACAGGCTAAGATAAAAAGTCATAATGAAAAAAATATATAATATATTTTCTTATGAAAGCTTGTAAAACCAATTATTTGTATATTTTTATTATATGAAAATATTTATCATAATATTTAAATAATGATTATATATACATACATAAAATACTATTGTATGTAATTAATTAAAATACTATTGTTAATAATTAATTAATATTTAAATAATGTGAAATAAATAACACTATTTTACTGTTTACATAAAGTTTTACATTAATTAATTATTTTATAATATATATTTATTCACTTAAAAAAGTGCATATTAAAATATACTTCTGTAATATGCAAAATGGAAAAAAAACAAAAAAACATTTCCTACGAAAGCTTGTAAAAAACAAGTATTTGTATATTTTTATATTATGAATATATATTATAATATTAATATAACACATATAACATTCTATAATAATGTGTTTACATTATGTGTTAATATATATTTTTTGTAGCATTTAGATTTTTTTATAAAAGTATATATTTAAATGTACTTCTGTAATATGTAAATATACTTTTAGTTCTATTTTAAAATTAAAATAGTTCATTTTCATACAAAAGTAATGCCTAAAATGTTTATATAATGAGAAATGGAACAGTGCTGTGTTGCAGTGGGCAGCGCTGTCGCCTCAAAGCAAGAAGGTCGCTTGTTCGAGGATCAGCTGCGTCAGCTAACATTTCTGTGTGGAGTTTGCATGTTCTCCATGTGTTCGCGTGGGTTTCCTCCAGGTGTTCCAGTTTCCCCCACAGTCCAAAGTCATGCGGTACAGGTGAATTGGATAAGCTAAATTGTCCGTATTGTATGTGTGTTAATGAGAATGTATGGGTGTTTCCTATTGATGGGTTGCACCTGTTAAAACATCCGCTGCTTAAAACATATGCTGGATAAGTTGGCGGTTCATTTCGCTGTGGCGACTCCAGATTAATAAAGGGACTAAGCCGAAAAAAAAAAATGAATGAATGAATAATGAGAAATATTAATGTAAAATTATAAAACGTTGTGTTTTAATATACATTAATAAAACTTTTGATTCATTTATCAGTTACTTTTTTTGTTTTTTTTAGGAAATATATACATACAGATCATCAAATATACTATTGTAATATGTTCATGTTTATATTACTAATATTGTATACTAAAAATATTGCTAATATTTCTTTAACGATATATATTATACTCTATATATTAAAGTTCATACAACTGGAAATACTTCAGTGAAAAGATTCATGTGAGGTTAACAGGCCAAAATAAAAGGCTAAATATTTTAAATGAGTCGTGTGAGGTATAACCCATCCTCGAAATTGGTCCTCTGCTTTTAACCCCATAAGTGCACACACACACCGTACAGTACACACACTGAGCAGTGGGTGGCTATTGTTTTGCTTTCAGTGGCCAGGGAGCATTTGGGGTAAGGTGCATTGCTCACTGGCACCTCAGTTGGGTATCGAAGATGGATAGAGTGTGGTTTGTTTACTACCCCTTCTTTAATTCCTGCTGGGAATTAAACCTGTAACCTTTCTATTGCAAGTCCTACTCTAACTAACCATTAAGACACAACTGCTATCTAACATGGGCTATCTGAATATAGAAGAATACACTGTGTGAATAATCAGGATCTTTGTTGTTTCTCCTGTGCAGAGTCTCTGGAGCTGATCGCCACTGCGGCAGAACACTCAAACGCTGCCATCAGGAAAATGGTGAGTTTCAGAGCTTCAGATGAGCGTTACACTCCATCTGGGGTGAAAACCAAACACTGCCACTTAACATGGCTATGTAATTAAGCACGACTGCCTCTTTAATGTGCCGACTGTTCTCAAAGTCTCTCATTTTACAACTGTTAATTGCCTATGGGTTTGTTTTCTGCATTTCGAGACGTCCTTTCCTCCAATCTAAAACTATTCAAAATGGGAAAATTCCAATTCAAAACTTTTTAAAATGGGTGATTTGTATTTATTTATTTTTTTTGGACAAATGTGAATGTTTTGTCTCTCAGGAGCGCATGAGAAAGCTGTTGAAAGTGTACGAGCTGCTTGGAGGGGAGGAGGATATCGTTAATCCCACTAATGAGCTGATTAAAGAGGGACACATCCTCAAACTGTCAGCTAAAAATGGGACGTCGCAGGATAGATACCTCATTCTGGTAAGTCAAACATGCACAGATAATAATGATGTGTTGGAAATAAAATGCATTAATGTCCGTCAGTCGGTCATGTAGCAGGCAAGCAATCATGGTTCATTGGACACATTTAAATGCCTTTATTATATATATATATATATATATATACACACAATTAAAGTCAAAATTATTAGCCCTCCTGTAAGTTTATTAATTTTCAAATATTTCCCGAATTATGTTTAACAGCAAAGACATTTTCCCGGTATTTCCTATATTATTTGCTAGGCGACCATCAACTGTTTTCTCAGAAGATGACTAGCTGTTACTAATTACCTCTAATTAGTCTACACAAATGTGTATATTCCATAGAAGTTGAATGGTCAGTTCTTGTCACGTGACTGGCGGTGCGCTCCTCATAGAATTCATTCAACTGCATGCATCTGGAAGCTGTGCACCTCAATTGGAACTAAGAAAGAAACTCTAGAAAAGACACGATATGTGAACGGCCTCTAAAAGGCCTTCATTTGCGATCTGCAGCCGTTGATCTTCTTGTACAGACATGGTGGATACTCCTGTTTGTGCATGTAAAAATAAATCCCCAAAAGAAATTTTCAAGGGTCAAAGAAAGTTATTGATTGAGAGAAAGTAAACCGAAATTTTTGTACTGTTTGTTCATTTAGTCTACTGCAATATTAGTTTTGATCATAAAAATGTTTGTTTTATATTTATAGATTTTTTGTTCATATATTGCTGTTTAAGATTAAACTGAATTTATAGATTTTTTTGTTTATATATTGCTGTTTAAGATTAAACTGAATTTATAGATTTTTGTTTATATATTGCTGTTTAAGATTAAACTGAATTTATAGATTTTTGTTTATATATTGCTGTTTAAGATTAAACTGAATTTATAGATTTTTTTGTTTATATATTGCTGTTTAAGATTAAACTGAATTTATAGATTTTTCTGTTTATATATTGCTGTTTAAGATTAAACTGAATTTATAGATTTTTTTGTTTATATATTGCTGTTTAAGATTAAACTGAATTTATAGATTTTTTTGTTCATATATTGCTGTTTAAGATTAAACTGAATTTATAGATTTTTGTTTATATATTGCTGTTTAAGATTAAACTGAATTTATAGATTTTTTTGTTTATATATTGCTGTTTAAGATTAAACTGAATTTATAGATTTTTGTTTATATATTGCTGTTTAAGATTAAACTGAATTTAAAGATTTTTTGTTTATATATTGCTGTTTAAGATTAAACTGAATTTATAGATTTTTGTTTATATATTGCTGTTTAAGATTAAACTGAATTTATAGATTTTTTGGTTTATATATTGCTGTTTAAGATTAAACTGAATTTATAGATTTTTTGTTTATATATTGCTGTTTAAGATTAAACTGAATTTATAGATTTTTGTTTATATATTGCTGTTTAAGATTAAACTGAATTTATAGATTTTTTTGTTTATATATTGCTGTTTAAGATTAAACTGAATTTATAGATTTTTTGTTTATATATTGCTGTTTAAGATTAAACTGAATTTATAGATTTTTGTTTATATATTGCTGTTTAAGATTAAACTGAATTTATAGATTTTTTTGTTTATATATAGATTTTTTTGTTTATATATTGCTGTTTAAGATTAAACTGAATTTATAGATTTTTTTGTTTATATATTGCTGTTTAAGATTAAACTGAATTTATAGATTTTTTGTTTATATATTGCTGTTTAAGATTAAACTGAATTTATAGATTTTTGTTTATATATTGCTGTTTAAGATTAAACTGAATTTATAGATTTTTTTGTTTATATATTGCTGTTTAAGATTAAACTGAATTTATAGATTTTTTTTGTTTGTATATTGCTGTTTAAGATAACCCCCCCCCCCCCCCCAAAGTATTAAAAGTTGATATCAATTTAGAGAAATTGAAGGCCCTTAAAAACTATTATAAAGCATTGCATGCTATTTTATAAGGTATTACTGTTACTTTTCTATAAAAAAATGTAATATACAACTACACTGCATGATAAAGTTTGCCTGAATTTAATCTGCAAATATTGGGATTCTGTGTAGTTTATGAAACCGATAAAATCCTGCTGTATTTGATGTCAGGCTGCTTTGTTTAAATGTCTAAAATATGGAAAATATGGAATCAGCCAATTTGCTAGTAAAAAAAAATGCAGTCAGCCATGAAATATCAAGATCAATGCATCAGTATCTTTATAGATGGATGTGGTGAGTTGCATTAAATGGAGACTCTAAAGTTTCATTGATTTATTTAAAGGTCAGAGAGTTTGCTAAAGCTCCACATTAAGTTTTGGTTTTCTTTTTTTGATTTGTATTCCTCTCTCATAAATTTTTCATCACCGTAAATGATTCTCTTTCTTTGTTCCCACACCTATGAATGAAATTGCATTGAAAAGGAGTTATCACAAGCTAAGACTCTTTTGTGCTTTCTTACAGTCAATATTGACTAAAAATACTGTAAGTAAAATGTCAACAGTTACAGTTTAAAACCTACAAGGTCATAAAAGTATGGAAAGAGTCTTAAAAAATCCAGAATCCTGTATATAAAAATATATAATCCTGTAATAATTTTGACTTCATATACAGTTGAAGTCAGAATTATTAGCCCCCCTTTGATTTTTTTTCTTTTTTAAATATATTCCCAAATGATGTTTAAAAGATTCAGGAAATTTTCACAGTATGTCTGATAATATTTTTTCTTCTGGAGAAAGTCTTATTTGGTTCATTTCAGCTAGAAAAAAAGCATTTTTAAATTTTTTAAACACTATTTTAAGGACAAAATTATTAGGCCCTTTAATCTAAATTTTTTATGATAGTCTACAGGACAAACCATCGCTATACAATAACATGTCTAATTACCCTATCCTGCCTAGTTATCCTAATTAACCTACGTAAGTCTTTCAATGTCACTTTAAGCTGTATAGAAGTGTCTTGAAAAATACATAGTAAAATATTATGTAGTCATCAGGGCATAGATAAAATAAATCAGTTATTAGAAATGAGTTATTAAAACTATTATGTTTAGAAATGTGTAGACTAAATATTTTTGCTAAACAGAAATTGGGGAAAAAATAATCAGGAGGGCTAAAATTCTGACTTCAACTGTATATTACATATATACTGTATATATGGTTTATAACAATTTTTCTCTCTCTGAAGTTCAATGACAGGTTGCTGTACTGCGTCCCTAAACTGAGGCTGATAGGACAGAAATTTGGAGTGCGAGCACGGATTGATGTGGACGGCATGGAGGTCTGATGTGTTTTTTTTCTTGTTTACAGCTTCATATTCAACATAAATATGTTGTTATCTGATGGTTGATTGACTCTGCATTGCTTCACAGCTGAAGGAGACCAGCAGCATGAACGTACCGCGAACGTTTCTGGTGTCTGGAAAACAGCGCTCGCTAGAACTGCAAGCAAGGTACGCTTTAGGGAATGTGCTTTGTCTGCTTTAAAAATAAAACCTGAGGTTGATTGACAACCACAGAAATGCTGCCAGCGCTTTTTTGTTAAGAGAAATACCCAAGAAAAGCATATCAGCACTTTGAAAACAAGAGAAATACACTGTAAAAAGCTATTAGTTACTTTACTTTGGAAAGTAAGTAAACTCATTGCCTTCAAAGCAACAAGTTGATTTTACTTTAAAAAGTCAGTAAAAACACTGACTTAACTTTTATAAGTATCCACATACACTCACCGGCCACTTTATTAGGTACACCTTACTAGTATCGGTTGGACCCACTTTTGCGTTCAGAACCGTCTTAATCCTTCATGCATAGATTCAACAAGCTACAGGAAATATTCCTCAGAGATTTTGATCAGTATTGACATGATAGCATCACATAATTGCTACAGACTTGTTAGCTGCACATCCATGATGCAAATCTCCCATTCCACCACATTCCAAATGTGCTCTATTGGATTGATACCTGGTGACTGTGGAGGCCATTTGAGTACATTAAACTCTTTGTCATGGCCAAGAAACCAGTCTGAGATGATTCACGCTTTATGACATGGAGTGTTATCCTGCTGGAAGTAGCCATCAGAAGATGAGTACACTGTGGTCATAAAGGGATGGACATGGTCAGCAACAATATTCAGTTAGGCTGTGGTGTTGACACAATGCTCAATTGGTACTAATGGACTCAAAGTGTGCCAAGAAAATATCCCCAACACCTTTACACCACCACCACCTGCCTAAATTGTTGATACAAGGCAGGATAGATCCATGCTTTCATGTTGTTGAAGCCAAATTCTGACCTTACCCTACAATAAATCGAGACTCATCAGACCAGGCAACGTTTTTCTAATCTTCCATTGTCCAATTTTGGTGAGCCTGTGTGAATTGTAGCCTCAGTTTCCTGTTCTTAGCTGACAGGAGTGGCACTCGTGGTCTTCTGCTGCTGTAGCCCATCCGCCTCAAGGTTGAACATGAGTCTGATTCCAGCGACGCTCCAGGGACAGACGAGTCTTTACTGAGGCCATCTTCCAGCCTAAACCACGGAGAATGAAGTTCTGCACAAGACTTTTGGCCAGCGGAGAAATTAAAATGGTCGTGCCCAACTGAGTCTGGTTCTCTCAAGGTTTTTTTTCTTCACTCCCATCAGGTGAAGTTTTTTTTCCCTCTCCGCTGTCGCCACTGCCTCGCATGGTTCAGGATTGGTAGAGCTACGCATCGATGAATTGGCTCTTCAGTGTTTGAACTCTCAGGAATGATTAAATCACACTGAACTGAGCTAAACTGAACTGAACTTAAACACTAAAACCTGAACCACACTGTTCCAGTTACTGAACCACACTGTTCCAGTTACTATGACCATTTATGTGAAGCTGCTTTGACACAATCTACATTGTAAAAGCGCTATACAAATAAAGCTGAATTGAATTGAATTGAATTGAATTGAATTGAATTGAAGGTTGGACGTGTTGTGCGTTCAGAGATGCTCTTCTGCATTCCTCAGTTGTAACGAGTGCTTATTTGAGTCACTGTTTCCTTTCTATCAGCTGGAACCAGTCTGGCCATTCTCCTCTGACCTCTGACCTTTTTTTGTTTTTGGACCATTCACCCATATTGTAAAAATCCCAGTAGATCAGCCCGTCTGGCACCAACAACCACGCCAAATTCAAAGTCACTTAAATGCTCTTTCTTCCCCATTCTGATGCTCTGTTTGAACTGCAGCAGATCGTCTTTACCATGTCTACATGCCTAAATGCGTTGAGTTGCTGCCATGTGATTGGCTGATTAGAAATTTGCATTAACGAGCAGTTGGACAGGTGTACCTAATAAAGTGTGTGTAGTTTGTTTACTCAATAATTATAAGGCAACAATCTTACTCTCTTTTTTAAGTGAAGTCAACTAATCACTTTCTTTCAGTATATCTGCTGCTTTTGAAAGTTTAAAATCCTTTTCTTTTTTGACCAGGACGGAGGAAGAGAAGAGGGATTGGATTCAGGTAATGTTGTCTTCTCCTTTAAGTCACATGACAGACTCTTGTGTCTCTCGAACATTCGGATATTACATTTACTCATTTTTTCCTTCTTGTTCACTTACACACAGGCAATCCAAGCCACTATACAGAGACATGAGCAGACGCTGGAGACCTTCCGGATGCTCAACTGCTCTTTTAGGGAGGAGGATTTAACTCCTCCAAACTCTCCGGTTAGTGCCCGTCTTAACACTCTCAATGCTGATATTGTTCATTGGTGATAATGAAAACACTGTCATTATTTAAAACGGTTTTAAAAATTTAAATATTTGTTTAAAATTGAAAAATATGCTTAAGTTGAACTACTGAAATATAAATATTGAAGAAAAATATTGAAGAAAAACAAAAATGAAATAAAATGGCAAAAGCACTGTACAAAAATGAATAAACCTTAACTTAAAATTAGATCATGTCATATTTAATTTTCATAAATATCATATTTAAAATGTTAGTTGGTATACTAGAGTTACTAGAGTATGTATATATATATATATATATATATAAATAAAAGAGCACTGAATTATTATCTTGGCCTCAATTAGGTTTGTAAAAAGTTTTATTGGTTTCATAAATTAAAATAGTTAATAATAAATAATAAATAAATACATTATGGGCTGAGGATATCATTGTTCACAGTCATTATTTTAATTAATTCTTAAAATATAATTATTAATCTAAAAACTAAAAAGTTGAACTACTGAAATCAAATTAAAGCTGAAGAAAAATATTGAAGAAAAACAAAAATGAAATTAAATAGCAAAAGCACTGTCCTAAAATGAATAAACCTTAACCTAAAATGACAACATTATGTCATCATTAAATTATAAATATCATAAAAATGTTATAAATTATATATTTTATCATACTAAGATGATAAAAATGTTATTTAAAGAACACTGAATTATTATCTAGGTCTCATTTAGCTGAAGTTTTCATGGGTTTCATAAATTAAAATAATTGCTAAATAATAATAATAATAATAATAATAATAATAATATTAATAACAATAATAAATTACTCATAAATAAAAATAATAACTTAATGTTTTTATTTTTATGGTTTATTATATATATATATATATATATATATATATATATATATATATATATATATATATATATATACAAACACACATATATACACACACACACACACACACACACACACACACACACACACACACACACACACACACAGGTTTTATTATAATAATTTGTTATAATAATATTGATCTTGTTGAAAAAAAATTATTTATACTTTTGTGTCTTTATTTTTATTAGAAAAATGTTTAGACTAACAACATATTAATCAATCTTTTTCTTTTGTATAATAGCACATGCTGACCTGACACACTTCCTCTTTTTTACTGTGCTGCATACTTTTAGAGGAACTGCTGACCAGAGAAAATATATTAAAGAATAAATTTAGCATTTGTTCCAAACTTCTGTCTGGACATGTCACAAGTTGTCATGATGCTTGTAGAAGTTGTGAAATATATTAAAGATGCACCTAATTGTTCAGTTCTGGTATGCAGAGAAAGGTTGCAGAAAGAGGAAGTATGTCTGGGGGGACAAGAGCCAAAAGACTGCAGAATGACTGATAAGTGACGTTAAACCAAGACTCCACCTATTAATATCAGTTGTGTATATATGCTGGAGTCAGGAAATGTATGTTAGTTGCGAACCTCTTGAATGTAATTCTTGTATTGCATTGGGGTAACGTAACCCGGAGCTCTGTCATCGAATTATTCATTTGTATCTAATAAATTACTAATACTTTTGGCATTGAAGAAAACACTCTCCTGACCTTTTCTTATTGAACACGCATGGAATTGGCTTGACATGCCAACAATCTATTGTAATATTCTGCTAACAAATGCTCTAAATTATAATATTATTAGAAATTTCGCAGGCATGTTATCAGTATTTTAGGAAATAAAACACCAAATGACCCTGCCTGTTATTGGCAAATCCACGGAACTAATAAATATAAATACAAATGTTTTTGCTTCAGAAAACAAAATATAAATCCTCAAGGTGAAAAAATGCTTAAAAGACGCACTCTCTAATGCAAGCCATTTAAGTTTAGGTGTAGGTTATGTCTGTGAATACTCACTGTAATATTCTGACCGGTCTTTGTTTTCAGAATTGCTCAGAGCTTGGAAAGCGAGCGCCCACTCCGATCCGGGAGAAAGAAGTTACGCTGTGCATGAAGTGTCAGGAGCCGTTCAACTCCATCACCAAACGACGCCATCACTGCAAAGCCTGCGGACATGTAGGATCAAAACACACCATAACTGTGTTTATAGGGCATGCTGATGTTGACAGCGCACTGACGTGGGTCTTTTTTTATTTCAGGTGGTGTGTGGAAAGTGTTCAGAGTTTCGTGCCCGGCTGTTGTATGATAATAACCGAGCCAACCGTGTGTGTATAGACTGTTATACCATGCTAGTTGGAGTGCCGCCGTCTCCTGCCAGTCTGAGCAGCAGCACACAGAGACGACGCTCCATCCTAGAGGTACAAGTCTATGTGATGTTGCTGAGACTTTTATGTCAGTATGTTGATGTACTTCCTACTGAAATGGAATATTGAGTAGGGGGTGGAGCTTTCCTTTTGTGCATCATTCCTTTGTTGCAAACTAAGGCCCTGTTGACACTAATACGTTTTAGTTTTAAAACGCATAAGTTTTGCTACGGTTAGCCTTCTGTCCACACTATGCCGGAGTTTTCGAGCCCGTACACAGAGCGTTTTGGAGACTCTGAAGAGACCATTTTGGTTTTGAAACGCTGCTCTGTGTCAGTGTGGACGGGGGAAAACGGAGACATCTGAAAACGGAGGCGTGGATGCAGATATTGATATCTGATTGGGGCTTTTTCTCAATATTAAGTGCAAATAAGTTCAGACTTCGCAAGTTTGATATGGAAAACAAACTCCCGACGACATGTCAGGTAAATCTTCAAAGGCAACAGTGTACTTTATAACACAATTCGCATCACCCTGGCTACGATGTTTCACTTTCTTAACAATAAAATGAAAACATGATATAAGGAATCGTCTTTTTTCAGTTTGATATTAGCAACTTAACAGACACCAAAAGTGTTGAGGCGTCATGTAGCTCCATATTTAATAAGGGTGTCACGATCCTCCAAATCCTCGATTCGATTACATTTTCGATTCTAAAGGCACGATTCGATTTTCGATTATGAATAATTAATGATTGACCAATTAATTATTTGTTGCCTACCGTTTAAACTACCTGACCTGCTTGGTCTTTGTTTTACCCATAAACAAATCATACAATAAAGGCAAGATACACACATAATTACCACCTGTCAATCACTTTTTTCTGCGGGACTCGCGAATAGGCAGTGATTTGTGTCGTTATAATGGCGTCGGTAAAAAAGACGCACAACCAACAGGAACCAGCCAACAGTATCTGAGGTGTGCGCTAAAATGACCAAGTACAAGTGAGTGAAAGATTGAAGCAGTCCTCTGACTGCCTGGACCTGCTGTCTCGAGCGCATGGCTGTGTGTGCGTCTGTGTCTGTGTGGTCACATGATGTGCATTGTCAGAGGTAGAGAGGAAGGAGGGCTGCTCAGAAATGCTACACGCCACTGTGGATGTCAAATAGTTGTCGTTCTAAAATGCCATTTAAAAACAAAGACAGTGTAAACAGGGCCTGAGTGTGTACTTTTCCAGTGTATTTGAAACGGGGGCGGGCGGAGGATCGCGATGTCGGTGTAGTCTATTGGACGAACCGTACGTAATACGTACATAGCAGAGCTTACAAAACTGTGTTTTTTTTTTTTTTTGTCGACAACACGAACGTTGTCAACATAACTCACTGGAAATCCAAAATGCTTACACACCGGCGACTTAATTGAAAGAGGAGAGGGTTTAAGCTCTGTCGACGGGTCTCCTGCTTCTGCAGTTTAACAAGCACTTCAACAAGCCTGTTTTTTTCCCGCTTGGCAAGCCAAGCTGACGTGACATGGGGGCGTGGCAGCATCGACGATTCTATTTTTTGATTCGATAATCGAAATTGAGCATAAATTTCGATCGATTTCGATTAAAAATCGTTTGACGGTCATATAAATATTAGGGGTGTCACGATTTCGATTAAAAATCGTTTGACGGTCATATAAATATTAGGGGTGTCACGATTTCGATTAAAAATCGAAATCGTGACACCCCTAATATTTATATGACCGTCAAACGGAGCCTACAACATAACTGCTTTCTTATATTTTCATTGAAAAATATAAAACACACCCTGTCTCTTTTGCTGAATATCAGTTTCTATAATCAATAATAGTCATCATAAAAGTATAACGTACAATAAGTTTGTACAATATAGGAAATAAAAGCAAGCAATCAGTCAAATGTGCAGAATCAGTGTTCGTAGTTACATAAACTTATATATTAACTTATCTTTGTGCTCAGCCAAAACACGTTACCTAAGAACAAGTGATAGATTCAAAAGAACGAAGAGTCCTTAAATAGAGACAAGATGAATTAAATATCACATTTAACAACTATAGATCAAGCGGCAGATCCTTGATGAACTGTCTGACATTTGCTGCTCTTATCTGGGGAGGTGTGCTCGACGCACCCACTGACTGCCTGGAGCTCAGACGTGCGCATACGCTGCAGCACATGCTAGAGTGTGTGTGTGTGGTCACGTGATGTGCGTTTTCATCTGTATAGTGTGGGAGGAGAGGTGTTCAGAAATGCTAGGTATGGAAGTGGCCAGTGTGTGGTCACGTGATGTGCATTTTCAGTGGTATAGTGTGAACGGAGCGCTGTTTAAAAATGCTATGTGTGGACGTGGATAGTTTTTGTTCTAAAGCGCCGCTTTAAAACTAAAATGTATTAGTGTAAACGGGGCCAAACATGGTCAGGAAAAAGTGAGACTTTGACAGATTTTTTTTTTCAGTGGGTTAACTTGCATGAATTAGTTGTTCAGCTAAAGAGTAACAATGTGCAGTAGCAAAATAAATATTGTACATTTTGATTTCACATGGACTTTAAAAAAATTTGAAAAGAAATACGAGTTCCATAAGGTTTGTAAGGCCAATGCAATGCAAAAAACAATTTTGGGGATGTAAAGATTTTAGAACAGTGAAAAAAAACAGTGTTCAATTCAAGTGAAGTTTATTCATAAACTAATTTCGAGAGGATCACGTGCTTATGATTTATGACGGCCGGTCTCGCATTTGTTAATCACTATCTTCCAATCATATGAGCCCTAAGCTACTATAAATAGCCACAGTTTTCAGTTTACTTTATCTTCGTTTGGAAGAAACCCCCCTCCTCCCCTATTCTCCTCCTTTACCTCTGATTGGGCGGCACGGCGGCGCAGTGGTTAGCACTGTGAGCCCCACAGCAAGAACCCTGCCAGCCCTGGTCCCACAGGACCGGTGGGTGTTTCTGTGAGGAGTTTGTATGTTCTCCCCGTGTCCGTGTGGGTTTTCCCCGGGTTCTCCGGTTTCCTCCCAACATCCAAAGACATTCAACATGCATAACAATCAAGCTTTGTCTAATCCCTTGTGTTCCCTTAGCTACCGCAGCAGGGGAGTTCTGAGATCCACTGAGCTCAGGCTCCCCTCTTGCTCTGCCAACGGGAGGAAGCCCCGGGCTCGAGGAGCCCTTGAGCTCGGGGCTCTCTCCCGGTACAGCATGCCAAACAAGCTTTTATAAATCATCAGCTAAGTGTGAACTCTTGAATTCAAGATTATTTGTCTAGCGCTTTCATTCACAAAAATTATTGTTTGCTTTACAAAAGGTGCACATTATTGCATTACAATCAAAAGCAAAACAGTTAAAGTTATTATTTACCATAACTTTATTAGTTACTAATAACTTTTAGTAATCAACTAGTAACTAATAGCTTTTTAACAGTTAAATTATTATATAAAAACACAGTTAACCTGTAGTTATATAGTATATAGGTGATGTTATTGTGTGTTAAAGTGTTGAAGGGATTCATTCATTCATTTTCTTTTCGGCTTAGTCTCTTTATTAATCAGGAGTCGCCACAGTGCAATGAACCACCAACTTATCCAGCATATGTTTTACGCAGCGGATTCCCTTCCAGGTGCAACCCATCACTGGGAAACATGCATACACACTCATTCACACACATACACTACTGACAATTTAGCTTACCCAATTCACCTATAGTGCATGTCTTTGGACTTGTGGGGGAAACCCGGAGAAAACTCACACGAACACGGGGAGAACATGCAAACTTCACACAGAAATGCCAACTGACCCAGCCGGGGCTCGAACCATGTGACCCTCTTGCTGTGAGGCGATTGTGCTACCCACTGCGCCACCGTGACGTCCTGTTAAAGGGATAGTTCACCCAAAACTGTAAATTCAATGATTATTTACTCTTCCTTCATTTATTCCAAACCTGTTTGAGTTTCTTCTGTTGAACACAAAGGAAGATTTACTGAAGAATGCTGAAAATTTACTTCCATTTTGTTTTTGTTCCTACTATGGTCAATGGATGTTTTTTACAACATTCTTCAAAATATCATGTTTTGTGTTCGGCAGAAGAAAGAAATACATAAAGTGTGAGTAAATGGGACAAAATCTTCATTTTGGGGCGAACAATCCCTTTAAGCAGTGTTAGTTTAGCTATATTTTTTTAATTTAGTCTTAGTCTTATTTTAGATATTTTCATGTGTTTGTTTTCTTCATATTTGATCAACCTTGTCCTGTTTTTGGTTAGTCCAGTGGTGCTCTGGGTGCTCCGGTTTCCCCCACAGTCCAAAGACATGCGCTATATGTGAATAGGGTGAACTAAATTAGCCGTAGTGTAGAAGTGGTGTGTGAATGCGAGAGTACAGTCCCAGTACTGGGTTGCAGCTGGAAGGGCATCCGCTGCATAAAACATGCTGGAATAGTTGGTGGTTCATTCCGCTGTGGTGACGCCTGATAAATAAAGGACTTTTGATGAATGAATGAACAAATGTATGTAAAATATGTCAGGGTGAATGGGTAGAAAAAAAAATTATAATTCTGTATGCAAAAACGTTTAAGAAAAACTTGTTGTTTTCCTGATACAGAAGCAGGCCTCGGTGGCGGCTGAAAACAGTGTGCTGTGTAGTTTCCTGCACCACATGGAGAAGGGTAGTGGCCGTGGTTGGCAGAAGGCCTGGTTCGTCATCCCTGAAAATGAACCACTGGTGCTGTATATCTATGGTGCTCCACAGGTGAGAAGATCAAACAGGTCTCCTTTAAAGAGACAGTTCACCCAAAACAGAACATTCTGTCATTATTTTCTTTTTTTCAAATCCTGTTTGAATTTCTTTCTTCTGTTCAACACAAAATAAGATATATATATATTTATGTGTGTATACAATTGAAACCAGAAGTTTACATACACTGTATAAAAAGGCACTTAACTATTTTTTTAAAAGGTCAGATGTTAATGTGACTAAACTTTTTCTCTTTTATGTAATTTAGGATTATCAAATTTGTTTCTGTTATGCTTAATAGCAGAGAGAGAGATATTTAAAAAAAATTGTTATAACTTTTCTTGAAAGTCAAGTTTACATACAGTAAACATGGTGTCAAGGTTTTGGAAGCTTTTGATTGGCTAATTGACAACATTTGTGTTAATTGGAGGCACAACTGTAGAATAGTATTTAAGGAAAACCTCAAACACACTGCTTCCTTTTGTGACAGCATGGAAAAATCAACAAGCCAGAATCAACAACAAAGTGAGATTACAAATTGCTCAATTACACTGGGAAAAAGACAAGTTGTTGGAGACATGTCCTGTGGTCTGATGGAACTAAGATTGAACTGTTTGGCCATAATGACCAGTGTTGCATTTGGAGGACAAAGGGGAAAGCTTACAAGCCTAGGAACACCATCCCAACTGTGAAGTATGGGGGTGGCAGCATCATGTTGTGGGGCTGTTTTGTTGCAGGAGGGACTGGTCCACTTCACAGCATAGATGGCATCATGAAGAAAGAACATTATGTAGAAATACTGAAACAACATCTCAAGACATCAGCCAGGAAATTAAAACTTGGCCACAAATGGGTTTTCCAAACAGACCATGACCCTAAGCAAACTGCCAAATGTGCTTTAAGGACAACAGAGTGAATGTTTTGGAGTGGCCATCACAATGCCCTGAACTCAATCCTATAAAAAATAGTGGGCAGAGTTGAAGAAGCTTGTGCGAGCAAAACAGCCTTCAAATCTGACTCAGTTACACCAGTTCTGTCAGAAGGAATGGGTCAAAATTCCTTCAAACTATTGTGAGAAGCTTGTGGAAGGATACCCAAAACATTTGACCAAAGTTGTACAGTTTAAAAGCAAAGCTACAAAAAATACCAAGGAAATGTATGCAAACTTTTGACTGTCTGGAAATGAATAATAAAAAATTGTATCTCATTATCTGGCATTTAGCAAATGTAAATCATTTAGGTAATCCTAACGGACCTAAAATAGTAAACGTTTAGTATGATTTACCATCACTCATTTTTAAAAAATGGGGTCCCACTTTCTATTAAGTGGCCTTAACTAATATGTACTTACATAGGAATTAATAGTTTGATGCAATGTACTTATTGTGTAAATACATGTATTTACTGTGTACTTATGCTTGATTAAATACATGTATGTAATTACATCTGTAATTAACTTTTGTAATTACATTTGTAAATACACTGTTCACCATCCCTTACACCTTAACCCACCCTTAAACCTACCCATGCCACCAAACCTGTCCATAACCCAACCTCTATCCCAACTCAAGAGAACTTGTTCTCAAATACATCATAAACAAAGTAAGTACATTGTATTTATTTTTTTGATGTAAGTACATAGTAGTTAGGGACACTTAATATAAAGTGGGACCAAAAATGGTTATGTTCCTTTTGTTAAAGTGTATGTAAACTTCTGGTTTCAACTGTATGTGTGTAAAATAATATGGCATATGGTAAAAATTAAAGAATCATCATTAATACAGCCATATTTTTCTTTTGAAACATAAGCATTTATTTTAGATTTAGTTAACGATAACATGCTTTACTATTAGCAACCCCCAAACATTTGGTCACACATAGTTCAGGCAGATGCATTTGACATGCATTCTCCTGGCCTGAGATCTGTGTAATGATCAGATCAGCAAAGACAGATGTTAACACCAGGTGTAAACAAAGCCTTGCAGCTCGTCCCATGACTAATGTGCTTCCCAGAGTCTAGTTAATGCTTTACCAGACTAGATATTGATTTTCTGGTCTCTCCTTCCCTCTCAGGATGTCAAAGCTCAGCGCAGTCTCCCCCTCATCGGCTTCGAGGTGTCCTTACCTGAATCCGGTGACCGCCTGGAACGCCGCTTCGCCTTCAAAATGAGCCAGAGTCATCTGACGGTTTACTTCAGCGCCGACTGTGAGGAGCTGCAGCGCCGCTGGATGGAGGTTTTATCCCGAGCCGGCAGGGGCGAAGAGCTACAATCCAACGGGCCCATTTGTGAAGCCCTGGAGGAGGAGGGGGAGGAGCCAGCGCCTACAGGAGAAAGCACATGATTGGCTAAAAAAAATATATATGATATCATTTTGCACACGCAAACTGTACAAATGTGACCACAGTGACAGGATATAATAGACAAACACACACAGACACACACATATAGCTTCTTTCTTACACACATCTGTATTAATTGTCAGTTGTAAGTTGCATGAAATATCTACAGGTACGTTTCTCTGTGTATTGCTCATCTTTGTGTGAGTGACCAGTGTTTGGAACAATCTGACAGAAAAAAGTATGCACACTTTAAAGACAACAGTACGTGCATTGATTTTTTTTTGTTAGCAGTTTCTGTGTCAAAGGGACAGTTCAGCTCAAAATGAAAATTTACTCACGGTTTTTATTCATCCGTCATATGGTTTTAAATATTTAAGAGATTCCTAAGATTTTTATGTTGAACACAAAAGAAAATATTTTGAAGAATGCTCAAAACCTTGACTTATATAGTAGGAAAAACAATTATATGGAAGCAAATTGTTTTAAAGCATGTCTTCTTTTGTGTTCAACTGAAGAAAGCAACTCAAAACTTTGAAACAAGTACATGTTTGGCAAAATTATGACAGAATTTTCATTTTTGGGTGAACTGTTCCTTTAGATAGACTGTTTTCTGCTAAATATCCAGGTGTTGGGATGTGGTTTAGTAAAGTAACACTGATGGCGAGTTGTGTTCGAAGGTTTGGTCTGGTTTCATGAGAGTCTAAAGGTATAATACCCTGGAACGGAAATGGCTTTTGTTCGTTTTTTTTTTAGTTAGTAGAATCTGAACCCAGCCAATATTTATGGCAATAATCCGCTTGGGAAGAGGAACAAATCCAGGATTTCACATTTCGGTTACATTATCAAACGTCGGCTGTTGTAGTGAACAGTGACAGGATTGGCCACGTGACATGTTGTTCAGCTATGCAAGCCTGTGTTAATCTCAGAGACACAGAGTACATGTGTGGTAATCAAAAACATAGCAGGAATATTTATTAAGCGGGTTTTAAACCACTCACGACCAACAGAAATATGTGCTTCCTGTTGACTCCACGGTCCTTTCAGCGCAGAAAAACACCTACAAATTGATTCCGCCATCTAGTGGACGCTTGTCAAAACGTCCGCTTATATTTTAGGAGTGAATGTCACGTCAGTCCCAAATCGAGCTAATATAAGAAACTTTTATTTTGCACGAAGTAAATAAAGCTTATTAAAGTGACCATATTGTCTTAGCAAAATAAAATAAGTGATATATTGTTGGAATTGTTCACTATTTATAGTGTAGTATTGTGTTGTGCTGTCTTTAATTTATGTTAATGCTATTGCTAGCAATAATGCTATTGCTAATGCTATTTATGCTATCAAATTTATAAAAAAGCATTGTGTTACGGAGAATTATTGAGAATAGTGAAAATATGGCACAATGAAAAAAAAATAGGCTAATGGTCCTTAGGGATAGTTCACCCAAAACTGAAAATTCTGTCATCATTTATTCATTTATGACTCTTCTTTCGAACACAAAAGAAGATGGTTTGAAAAATGCTGGAAACCTCTAACCATGGACTTCCATAGTATTTGTTTTTCCTATAGTGGAAGTCAGTTAATACAGGTTTTCAAGATAGGCTATCTTCTTAAGTGTTCAACAATATAAAGAAACTTAAACCACTTGAGGATGAGTAAATAGTGAGTAAATTCTCTATTGAGGGTGAACTATCCGTTTAAATTAAGCATATTTACTTTTAAGCTAAATAAAATTGTCTTTTTTATATTTGGGATGATAAGTGACACCTTTTTGTGAGATTCATGGCTAAAGAAACCCTTTTGTTCGAACGATTCTGAAAAAGCGTGTAATAAAATGTTTAAATCAAAGGAATAAATGACAGGGCTTCTTACAGGATAACAAAGGCTTATCCGGTAGTTTTAGCGTGCATGAGTGATTTTATGAATGTTGTGGGATTTGATAAGACTGCATATAAGATAAAAGGTATGTATGAATCTGGCTAGTTTTTATCATTGTGAAACTCAATGATATCCCTGCCTTATTTAGAGGGTTGTTTCTTTTTAGATGAATACAGAATATATATATATATATAAATAAAACAAGGTCAAAGTTTTGATGAGGATATCAAACGTTTTCAGCCGTGTTGTATTTGTGTATGAAAAGACGCAAGGACAAATTCATTTGTAAATATAACTTATTCCTCAGAGCCCAGTTTTGTGGGTTAGGTATTGTCGATGAGCTTCGGTGTTTGATCTTCGTTACGTGCAGTTTTTAAATGGACTTGTGGTAAATTCCAGGTCAAGAAAAGCTTAGGATGAGTTCTCTCGTTTTACCACGTATTCCAGAGGTAGATATTCAGTGTTTTATAGAAAGAGCTTCGTTTTCTTTCTCCTCTTTTTGAATCCAGTTTCCAAAAACGTACTTGCCAATGTGAACTCATTGAGAACTGCTTTAACTATTTTTCTTTTGTGTTTGATATTGCTTTAATCTGGCTCTTTGTTGTCAAAGACATCGCTCGATTTTGAAGTAAAGGTGAACCAGTCGGTGTGTTTCCTCCAGTCTGTCTGAAGAAAGCAGTGATTTCTGAACAATTCACAATTCAGGAGTGTTAACGGCTGCGTGTGTTATCTTCCATAATGTTTACGACTTGTCATTCCCAGAATCCTCAGTTGAGCCTGCCCGTCACTCACGCTTACAAACACACACATTCATCTTCCTCTACTTTCAGTATTATTGTTCTTGATATCCTGCCTTACCGATATTTCGCAGCCCTCTGCTTATCTAGTTTTGTTTTCACAATTGCTTTTTGCCAAAGTATACTGCAGAAAATGTGTATTAGAAAATGAAATGTCATTTCTGTGTTGTTGTCACATTTGTTTTATTTGTTTTTTAATACCGATATTTATTGTCTTTTTTTACTCCTTGAGGTAAATGTAGTGAGGGTAGAAAAACTGCGATGAACCAAAAAGATAAACACTATCAAAATACAAGGAAATCATCATTTGGGAGGATATAACTTATTGGTTATTTTCTCTTCTTTTAGGCATGCATTATTATTATTTGTTTTGACTGATACCAATAACCGATAACTATAAATCTGAAGGCAGATAAACAAAATATAAAGATGTAGATGTACACTACCAAAACACAAGTAAATCATAATTTGGGAGCATATAACTGATTGTTTATTTGGTATTTTTTAAAGATGCATCAATATTGATTGTTTGACCAATACCGATAACCGATAACTATAAATCTGATGGCTGGTAAACAATATATAGGCATATAGATGAACACTAACAAAATATAAGCAAATCATCATTTGGGAGGATATAACTTTATTTGCTATGTTTTTTAGGGATGCATTGATATTTTTACCGATAACCGATAACTCTATAAATTTGGAGGCTGATAAATAACATATAGGCATATAGATAAACACTGGCAAAATACAAGGAATCATCATTTGGGAGGATAAAACCTTTTGTTTATTTGCTATGTTTTTAGGGATGCATCAATATGGATTTTTTTGACCGATATCTATAAATCTGAAGGTTGATAAACAATATATGAGCACTACCAAAATACAAGGAAATCATTATTTGGGAGGATATAACCTATTGTTTATTTGAAATGTGTTTTGGTGTGTATCGATAGATTTTTTTGACTGATACCGATAACCGATATCTATAAATCTAAATGCTGATAAACAATATATAGGCATATAGATGAACACTATCAAAATACAAGGAAATCATCATTCGGAGGATATAATTTATTGTTTATTTGGAATATCATTAGGGAAGCATCGATATGTTTTTTTATTTTTTTGACTGATACCGATAACCAATATCAATAAATCTAAAAGCTGATATACAATATATAGGCATATAGATGAACACTACCAAAATACAAGGTAATTATCATTTGGGAGGATATAATTTATTGTTTATTTGTTTTCAGGGATGCTTCGATAAGAATTTTTTGACCTATACCGATAACTCTATAAATCTGAAGGCTGATAAACAATATATAAGCATATAGATGAACTTTAAATCATTATTTGTGAGGATATGACATTGTTTATTTGGTATGTTTGTAGGGATTGATTGATATAGTTTTTTTGACCGATACCGATAACTATAAAGGTGGATAAACAATAATAGTTCGATAGATATCATTTTTTCCACATGACTGCAAAAACAAAAGTTAAAACTCATACAGTGAACAACACTAAACCTTATTAATTAACTATTAATTTTCATGGTCAACTTTCTTTTATAGAATTAAAATCAATTGCTTGATAAAAAAATTATAATGCAAAAAAAAGCAACCAAGTCAAAGAACATTACCAAAATTAAAATACCAGTAAAATGATAAAAAATGTGTTGGCACCAAGCATGTAAAGTGGTTCAAGCAGCGGAAATAGTACATAGTTTATCTCCCTAATTTTTTTATATCGGACTGATATCGGCCGATATTGATATGGCCACCGATATATTGGGTAATCCTATAAGTGAAAGCAATGGAAAAATACATAATTTATCTGCCTAATTTTGATATCGGACCGATATCGATCGATATTGATATGGCCACCAATATATATAGCATCCCTCTGAGTTCAAACATCGGAAATAATACATAATTTCTCTGCCTAATTCTGATATCGGCCGATATTGATATGACCACCGATATATCGTGCACCCTTTAAAGTTTTAGTCCCATAGTAATTGGAAGATGATGTACAGTATGATAAGCCTTTATTGTTTCGTCCATAAAATTGATTTATAAACAGCGTTTTGAAAGTATATCACTCTGAGGTTTTACACACAAAAAAGCGAGATACACTGTAGTTAATTTTAGGATTTCTGAACAACGGTGCATTTTTAAGCAAAACTGAACAATCTTGTGTCTTTGATCTGTCATTTACAGAAATAGAGGTGCTATTTTATCGTATGATCAAGGGAACAGCTTTGTGTTTATTAATAAATGACACGACAAGTTCAGGAATTGACTTTCTCTGTACATTGGCTACACAATGTTGAGGATTAACACAAAATGAATCATTTGGGAGTGAGCAGTACATCTCTGTGATGCAGAACAGAGAGTCAAATGTTGCATTGTATATATTGTATATGCTCAAATCTGTACCAAAACACTAGCACAGTCATGATGATGATGATGATGATGATGATGATGATGATGATGTAATCTGTTGCTGGATTTTTGACTTGAGTGGTATAATCTTGTTCATTTTTATAACTTTTAGCAACAATTCCCTTTTGCCGTGAGGAAGATTACTTTGTAACGCCAAACTTTGAAACATATTTATTGTAAACCAGCGTTTGGATTCTTTTATATGGGAGTTAAATAGAGAAATGGAGGCTTGGGCAGTTGTTTTGCTCATAGATGTTAATGATTATACCTGTCTAGCGATGATCTACCATTCCTTCTCCTCTGCTTTCTGGCATCATCACAGCATGCCAACCTCCTGACCTGTTTCTGTCTTCTTTTTTGCTGACTTTTTATGCACGTTTGCAACAAACCAGCAGAGAAGGATGTGTAAAACATTGCCAGATAGCCCTTATATCTGATCTTCTCAAGGACAGTTCACGTAATGTTATTTTGCTCTCGGACAACCACAAAATGGCTGCATTATGAGCATTCTTTTCCAAGCCCATTAGCGATAACATCACACTATATGGCACAAGTATACATACCGTTGTTTTCCCTCATGAAACCTGGTTTATTGTACACATAATGGGTATTACTGTTATTTCAAGTACTATTATAATTATTATTGTTGATTCAATTAGTGGCAGGCCACTGGGTACCATTGTATGTTAATATCCCAATGAAATCTGTGCAAGATCATGAAAATGTTTATGAAATAAAGTAATAAAAGAACAAAAAATAGCGTGACATTTTGATTGCATCTTATCCTAATGTTGTGTATTGTATTATTAGTGATTTGCTAATCATATCAATAATATATATGTATATTCACACTCACACAATAATATTTTCTCTCTCTACATGTATACACACTCAATATGTATGCCTCTAATGCTTAAAAAACTGTTCCCTATTGGAAGATTCTGCAAAATAATACACATACCTGTGTATACACTATGAATATTACACCTAAATTAATAAATATACAGATATTTAAAGAAAATGCCACACTATATGTACATTTAAACCACAGTATTCATACTTAAACGCTTTATCATTGTAGTGTTCGTTTCATCTTGACATCACACAGAGATGTATCACCTAAATCTAAAGGATGACGAAATAGTTTGTAATGTTATATCAAAGGCTGACCTAATGCTTGAAGTAAACAAGTATGCTCTCGCTCGTCTATTGGCTGACAAGTTCAAAGTCCCACCCCTTCTCCGCGGCTATTGGTCCGCTCGCCCGTCAGTCCTCACTCGGCTGATCATGGAGCGTCACTGTGGGGTTTTCCGGTCAGATTTACTCTCTCAGTGGACGGTGAAGAGACAAGAGAGCGAGATATAGCCGTTTGCACAGTAGTCGCACGCTGATAGAGGAACTACGGACTTTAGACTCTTAAGTCGCATTTATTTTTTCATCAAACTCTAGTCTAGACAGATAAAGAAAGAACGCATCGATACGGGAATTTGAAAAAACGACTAGCGGTTGCAGTAAACATCTCTCGCTAACCGAGAGTCCTCTTGCAGTCCTCTATTTTAGCCTCTTTAGAAAACAACCGGCTTGCCTTACTGTCGCTCACAGGTTGCTATCGGTGTATATCAGTTATTCTAACTCGTTAATTTTGCTATTTGTTCATTTTATTGGTGGACTTCTGGAAAAAAAAATGTCCAGCCTGCCTTCTGTCAGACCCGAGAAGGGCAGATCGGAAGTGGCATTACCTGGGCAACAGGGGCACGAGCGTCCTCAGACCGTCTACGTAATACTGGATTCAGCAGAATCTGTCAATCTCATCAGGTCAGTGTCACATCAACTAAACATTAATTAATTGATTTGCCTTTGCGTTCATTAGCTGTTGGATGGAACTAAACTTTACACTTGCGCATCAATTAAAAAAGTTAAAGGTCCGTAGAGGACGAAGAAGTCTGTCAACTGACGTGTTTCTTTATCAACATCATTTCTGATGATAACTAACAAAAATGTCATTCATTTTCATTCATTATATATCAGAGTTTGTTTACATAATGGCAGTGGTGTTGCTTTTTTAATGAAAAACCGTTACTATTATTTTCCTATACTAAAGGCTACTGTTTTGGAAAAGTCAATAATTAGAAGCACCATTCAATTTGATTCATTAATATTTTTGTGTACTATTATATTAAAAAAACAACAAAACAAACAAACAACAAAAATGTTCGACTTATTCAAGTTTCTGAGTATATGCATACTAAACAAATAATTATAGATCCAAATAATTATGAATAAAGAATTTTAATTCATTTCATTCGACCTGCAATGCTCAAAAACAGAAAACTGGAAAACGTTCACAAAATATTACAGATTTCACATATTAAATTATCCATCCATCCATCCATCCATCCATCCATCCATCCATCCATTCATCCATCTTTCTATTGATCGATCGATTGATGTCTATCTATCTATCTATCTATCTATCTATCCATCTATCCATCTATCTATCTATCTATCTATCTATCTATCTATCTATCTATCTATCTATCTATCTGTCTGTCTGTCTGTCTGTCTGTCTGTCTGTCTGTCTGTCTGTCTGTCTGTCTGTCTATCCATCCATCCATCTATCCATTTATATATCCATCTGTCACTCCATCTATCCATCTCAGAGAAGAATAACTTTTTTTTCAATCCATAAATTTTTGAGTGCCAGAGTGCAAATTTAGACCATTCTTTCATATTTTTTGCACACATAATTTTTATTTTTAGCAAATAAGAGGAACGTATGCACGTTTTTAAGTCAGATTTTTAAAATTCTGGTCTCTAGAACCTAAAATAATATTAACTTAATCAGATAACATAGAGGATAAATAATACAAATATAATTTATGTCCAAAATAAATACAAACCTTCAGCTCAGTGCCAAAGCTACATGGCCCAGAATGGCATTGGCCACCAAATTTGAAGGTCCATTTTAACAAATAAGCACAAAATATGTTTTTTAGAGTAGAAAAATCCTATTAAATTGTAAATCCTGGTGTGCCAGCAATAATCATCCGATTGCACACTTCTGTTGTTGGTAAATTAAATCATTTTACTCACCGTCTACATTCAATATACCTTTCCACCATATCTTAGATCCGGTATTTATTGGTTGAACTTCCTGACATTTTTAAAATCATGTCAAAAAAAAAAAGGCTAAAACAAAAACATGATTCTGGATATTTTAGCTTTAGAAAATCAACATGTTATGTAACTGTATGAAAATTATCTCAACATCCATGATTTTGCATTGTGTTAAGTTTCGTTTCAGTCAAACAAAAAAAAAACACCTGTTCTGAATTAATATGACATGATTTACTAATGTTTGTTGAAGCCACAAATGAAAATGCAACCCAAAGACTGCACGTGTGTGCTGTTTCCATGTATTTGAAACAGTTATGTTTGCTTAATTTAGCTAGACGAGATCTTGTCAATGATAAATAATATATCTGCTTGCTATAGAGTTGTCAAAACTATCACTATTTTCATACATATCTTCCTCAGAATTAATGGAGTTTTAGCTGACAATAATAAAAAATGTACTGTTGTGCTATACATTTGTGTAATGCAATATTGAAAATTCTGTAATTTACCCTCAAGATGTTTCAACAAAGCAGTAAATATTAGGATAAATCCTTTGTTTTAATCAGAAAATAAGACATTCTGACATTGTAGCATTGTTTATCTTTTATTTCTTTTAAAAATCAAAAATTGTCTACTTTTTAATGTTTGAATTGCCTTTTAATGCTATGAATTTTGTCCCTGTGGTATCGAATATCGATATTTTTCAAGGTATCGTATTGAAGTTAGAAATTTTCAGTATCATAAAAGCACTAACCTGCTATGATTGTTATATAATATTTTCAAGTTGCATTTTTATTTTAGTCTATTTATATATTTTCAGCCCATTATTTGTATAGACCTGTTTTGCTTTAAATCAAACCCGATACATACCAACTTTTATAATTTGCATTCCTGTTTTTGTCTCATGTGTTTTAAAATGATGTGCTTAAGTTTGAGAGTAAGCACTTAGGTTTATTCACTAAGGCCCATTTACTGTCAAAGCCATTTAGCAAGCCTCAGCCTTTAAAACAGCCTCCCTCCTCTCAACTCAGCCAAAAAAATTCCTCTGGAATGCCTGTCTGGGTTAGTTTGACCCACAAGAGCCGTTTTACCGGAGGCTTTGTTTTGCAGTTTCTGTTCAGAGCTTCAAATTTCACGGGATATGACTCAGCAAATCTACCCACACATTTTCCCTTTCGCTTTTTCCCCCATCCCTGTTTTCACTCTTCTTCCTCCCAAGTTCTTGCTTGCATTGACTGAATGTTTGCTGAGCTCACATGATTCTGCTTCTTTTGTACTAAATGGAATGTGTTTGTCAGAAAAAAAGCTTTTTTTTGGCTATTTCCCAGTTACCATAAAATAATGCTTTTTAATGTTTTACGTATCCCTTGTTGCATAACCTCCTTTCAAAGTCCAAGATTCTTTATTGTCACACTTACCATCACTGCGGGTAGTTGGGTTCAGTGCAGTAAAAATATTACATCAGTACCTTTGGTCAGTGTGATAGTAATGATGCTATAAATACAACTGGTAAAGTATGATTTTTAAGTTTAAATTCTGTGTTTACTGCTAGTAAACGGGTACATTGATAATAAAAATAAAGACAATTTTGCAGTGCAGAAATTATAGTAATAGAATTATACAATATAGTGTACAATACTGTAAATACAAAATAAGATACAATATAGTAAATTAATAGGGTCAGCTAAATAAAAAGAAAATGAACAGACATTTAAAAATACAGATATACACTCACCGGCCACTTTATTAGGTACACCTGTCCAACTGCTCTTTAACGCAAATCTCTAATCAGCCAATCAAATGGCGGCAACTCAACGCATTTAGGCATGTAGACATGGTCAAGGTGATCTGCTGCATTTCAAACCGAGCATCAGAATGGAGAAGAAAGGTGATTTAAGTGACTTTAAACGTGGCATGGTTGTTGGTGCCAGACAGGCTGGTTTGAGTATTTCAGAAAATCCTGGTCTAATTGGATTTTCACGCATAACTATCTTTGGGTACAGAGAATGGTCTGAAAAAAAGAGAAAATATCCAGTGAGCGGCAGTTCTGTGAGTGCCGGAGGTAAAAAAAATGGTCAGATTGGTTCGAGTTGATAAGAAGGCAACAGTAACTCAAATAAGCACTCGTTACAACTAAGAATGCAGAAGAGCATCTCTGAACGCACAACACGTCCAACCTTGAGGCGGATGAGCTACAGCAGCAGAAGACCACACCGGGTGCCACAGCCTACCTGAGTATCGTTGCTGACCATGTCTATCCCTTTATGACCCCAGTGTACTCATCTTCTGACGGCTACTTCCAGCAGGAAAATGCGCCATGTAATAAAGATCATCTCAGACTGGTTTCTTGAACATGGCCTCCACAGTCACCAGAACTCAATCAAATAGAGCCACTTTGGGATGTGCTGGAACAGGAGATTCACATCATAAATGTACAGCTGACAAATCTGCAACAACTGCGTGATGCTGTCAAGTCAATATGGAGCAAAATGTCTGAGGAATATTTCCAGTACCTTGTTGAATCTATGCCATAAAGAATTAAGGCAGTTCTAAAGGCAAAAGGGGGTCCAACCCGGTACTAGTAAGGTGTACCTAATAAATTGGCCGGTCAGTGTATATAAAAGAGTTGATGCCTTGACTCCCTCTGGCGGTAAGTGCTGATATTAGATTTTTTTCTATTAGATCTCTTAAAGTGTATTCGTTTTTTATCATTATGAACAGTCTGCCACTGTAATACTCGAAAAAATATTATGTACGTGAAAGGATAATATGTTGCATTAACCGTGTTTTTGTTGAACCTGAGGTGTTCCACAGCGTGTAAAGCTCTTTTGAGACCGGGAAGCACATACTACTACACTGAAGGCTTGGCTCATAAACATTAAAATGACTTACCAAGACAGCAAATCTGATTGGCTCAAGGGCAAGCGTAGGCGAGTGGGCGCTAGTTAGTTGGCCTATCAGCGAATAGTGGAGGCTTGGTCGATGAATATTAATATAGTTCTCTGACTGACAGCTCCATTCAAGTTACCAAGCAATGTCTCTGAGTGACCTTTTTAATATTCACAAGCTTAGCCTTCGTCGTAGTAGCTTTCGTAACTTCACCGGAGGATAGAGGAGCTTCGCGTGCTTGGAGTGGCACAAACATGGCCACCTAGTGAAACCAAAACACAAGCGAAACGGCGATGCTTTATGCACAATTCTCGCCTTTAAATGGTATACATGATCGTGACAGCTCCGCGTTAGTCCGGGATTTATATATGCCAACCGTGGAGGATGGCTTCACAAACCCGATTTACCGGAATAGTTTCGCTTGATAACGTTTGATCTGATTACATCACCTGGATTATTCCACTATCCAGAAGAGGCTTTAGGTAACGCTGTGCGATCAAGACATGCATTTACAGCTTTTGTGGATGTTATTTCACGCTTCATGCTCAGATTTGATGGTGTTTTAGTTCGTGTCAGCTTTCTGTTATAGCGACACACTGGTAAGATGGATGTGTCTCAATGCTTTGAGCTTCTGTTCCACCTAGACATCACTTTTAGGCATCAGTGGCACAAAAATGTGGTAGACATAGGGAGCTGACTAGTGTTTGCGCTTTTATGATAACTAAAGATTTTGTCATTGTCTTAAACTCCTAAAAACATATGTGTGTGACATATTAAGACACAAAGTAGGCTTGGTTACTCTTAGCAACTTTAAAAACCCTGTGTGTGTGTGTGTGTGTGTGTGTGTGTGTGTGTGTTTGTGACATCAGGACACAAATGTGTATGACATGGGTATTACATGGAGGTTTATGAATTATGGGAAGTATGAGCAGTCAACATTGCTAATTTTCCTATTTTTCAAAAGGCTAATAAATAATACAGAATTAGTTTTTTTCTTTTCATAAAGTAAAACTCCACACAATTTCCAGTAAGGGGTAGGTTTGGGGTAGGACAATAGAAAATACAGTATATGCACAGTATAAAAAAAACAGAAACCTATAGAATGTTCCTGCAGTTCACAAAAACAAACCTGTGTGTGTATGTGAAGTTTATTCATGTATTTGCTTAAGATTTGCATGTCTTTTATTATTATTTTTACTATTTTTTTATGATAGCATACAAATTTTGCATGGATAGAATTATTTTAAAGGGCACCTATATGGTTGGGTTCGATAGACTTCATGACATCATCACGATGCCCCGCCCCTGTCGCAGCAGCAACCCATGTGTGAAAACTACACACTTAGGCCCCGCTTACACTAATATGTCTTATTTTTAAAATGGCATTTTAGAACGAAAATGATCCACGTCCACACTGGCGTTTCATCTAGCATTGAACGGCTCTCCGTCCATACTATACCGCTGAAAACGCACTTCACGTGACCGCACACACACACACACACACACACAGGCATGTGCTGCAGCATACACGCACGTCTGAGCTCCAGGCAGTCAGCAGGTGCTTTGAGCACAAACCTCAGAGAGCAGTGCACTTCGGACAGTTTATCAAGGATGTACCGCTGGATCGCAACTCACTATAGTTGTTAAACTTGATATTTAATTCATCTTTTCTCTTTCTAACAACTCTTTTGTCTTTTGAGTCTATCAGGTAACGTGTCAAAGCATCAGTGAACTGCTTCAATCTTTTGCTTTCACGATTGTACTTAATAATTTTAGCGAAAACCTCAGATAGTGTTGGCTGGTTCCTGTTGGTTGTGCAACTTTTTTACTAAGTTTGTCGACGCCATTAAAACGACATCGATCACTCTGCACATTCATGCCGTGGAAGAAGTGATTGACAGGTGGTAATTTGTGTGTAACTTCTCTTTATTTATTTATGATTTGGTTATGGGTAAAACAAAGACCATGCGGGTCAGGTAGTTGAAACTGTAGGCTACAAATAAATAATTTGTCATTAATTAATTAATTATAAATAATTAATTCACCGCTGCCTATGACTACGATGCCATCGTCCATCGGGATGTTTCGCATTAGACATCATAGGATGCCAAAATGGTCGTCATCGCCTAACCCTAGGCATCAATGATGAAAATCAAATTTTGTAAGCTCTTTGAACAGAACTGTCTGTATGTATAGTGTGTCCACAGTAATGGAGTGATATAAACCCAACAAGTCTCTTTTTTTTTATTTTCTGACGTTAAAATTGGATCCAAATCAATGACATGTATACACGTCAACAATTTTTTTGCAAATACACTGGGATTAAAACATCTGTTCTAACTCTCTGTGATTTTTATAAGTTGTAAGCTTAAAACGTGTGTGTGTGTGTGTGTGTGTGTGTGTGTGTGTGTGTGTGTGTGTGTGTGTGTGTGTGTGTGTGTGTGTGTGTGTGTACACGTGTGTGTACGTATTGCAAACAGCATTTGTGTGAGACTCATAATTTCATAGAGGCTTGAAGAAACTCCGCCACAAATACATGAAATAAACTTACTTTTTGCATTTTGGCATTAATAAGATTTTAGCTTCAAAGTATCTGTCTCTCTCACTTTGCTGTTTATCTGACGTAATGCATGATGAGAGGCAGACACGCACATGGGAACGGTGGGCGGGAAGAAGCAGCTCATTTGCATTTAAAGCCACATGCTGCAAAAACAGCTACAATGTACTCAAGACGTCAAAATGGGCAGATTCTGGAGGCTATTATATATAATCTGATGAGTATTTTGAGCTGAAACTTTACAGACACTTTCTGGATACATCAAAGGCTTATCTTACATCTTGTAAAAGGGGTAAAATAGGTTCCCTTTAATGTATGTGTGCTCCCCCCACCCCCCAACCTCCTGTGATTTAAATATGAAGCATATTTATGTATTTGCTTAAGATTTGCATTTCTTACATTTATTATGATCCATTCATGCCAAAGGGTATATGCGTCTTAATGTATGTGTGTATTTTCCCCCCGTGATTTATATAATACATAATATTTGGAATAAGGAACTGAGTTCAGTGACTGACATGCTTATTCACTCCAGGATTTAATATTACACCGCTCCTCTTCACGGTCTCTGCATCAACATGTCAGATTATGGGAAATGTTTGTCCACGCTGACAGTGTTTGACGTCCTTTTGTTCTTTCTTTCTTTCACAGCGTTGAGCCTCTTCTTCCTGAGTCTGGGATTGTGGCCGATATCGAGGTGGAAAGCGTTTTCTCCGCCGATTCGGACGCTTTTTACGAACTGAAGAGTCAGCCTATTACGCCAAGGTGAGTTTGGATATTACAGCATGTAATGATCTGATGATAAATATGTTTCCTGTTTGTATCTGTACTGACGGCTGCAGATTTACACTGGCCGCTCTCCAGATATGCTTATGCGAGAACCGCAATCGTACCTGATTTACTTCCTACACACTCTTTGTTTTAAGATGACTAAGTTTATGGTCAGGTTTTGCAGCATGTTCATGATTTTTTTATTTGTTGTCTGCTTTTCTTACTTGGATTTTTTTTGTCTTATTTCCAGTCTAAGGTATTTGTAGAGTCTTAAAATGTCTTTAATTTCAAAAGCTAAATTTTAGGCCTTAAAAAGTCTGAAATCTACTGAAATATCATGCTGTAGGTCTTAAATCTTTTTTTTAACAGGTCTTAATTTTCCTTTGTTTAATCTGGCCATTAACACCCATATTATCACCAACAATCCATCTCAATAAAACTTTTGTTTTAAAAATAGCATTTTTGCCATAATGTTATTACTTTCCTTACAGTAACATTTGTTTAAAAGTTCTCTATTTATTTACTGCTGAGGATCCTGACCTGCCCTATATATTTTTTATTATAGAATTATTATTATTGTATTATTAAATGTATTAAATTATAATCATTTGGTAGTAGGGCAAATAAAAATCTTTTCCAACTCAAATATTCACAAAAAAATCCTTAGCATTTAGCCTTTTATAAGTCTAAAATTTCATTTATAATGGTCTTAAAAACTTGTTAAAACCTGCAGAAACCCTGTAGTCCAAATATCTGAAAATTCTTAAAGGGTCACGATACACCAAAACACATTTTTTGAGCTGTTGACAGTCGTATATGTGTCCCACACTGCTAAAAACACTATTAGGACACCTATATTTCACTAAAAAGTGTAAATTGGTTGTTTTTGCATTATTTCAAGCAAATTCGTACTTCCGGTTTGAAACGAATTTTTGAAGCTGCGTCACGGTCATGACATAATAGCGTTGTATTCCAGCGTGCAGACTGGACATCTGAGCCAGAGTGTGTCTTATTAAGTCTTACAGTCTGATGCATTAATGCATGAGTAAGGCTTGGTTCAAACCAATCAGCGCGCTCTATTGTGCAACTTCATTAATATTCATTACTGTCACAGTGTTTAGACGACACTCACACCACGTTGTATTGGCAAAACAAGCGTGAAGTGTTGCTTTTATACTTTGCTGCAGTTAAGTTTCGTTTTCATTTTCTCTCTGTGAGAGCTCAGAGTCACGTGTGGATTAACAGTGTACGCGACGCTCGACAACAATAACTTACGTGTCTAAGGAGGAACATTGTTTACCTGAGAGCTGTTCTCATCTGCAAACGCTGAGATCCGGATTCGCTTGTAGTATTCTCTTCATAAAGACGCGGCTCTAGTTGCTGGTGATTGTCCTGTCTCTACAGATTTGGTAAGTGAGCGACCAGTGCTCTTTGTTTATTCAGTTTGTTCGTATCGAACTAAGTTAACCGTTACACCGAGTGTAAACATGTTAGCACCACAACCAAACTTTAACCTCGTGTAGGGTTTTCACCGCATTTAGTGACCGGAATAACACACGCGGCTTTCTGACGCTACCTGCCGTGTGCATCTAAGTTTTCGGGAAATGCTGAGTTTTTTTTCTCTCATTCGCTGTGTGGTTTTAAACATTGCATGAAAAATACACGCTTAGAGCCATTTAATAATTTGGCAAATAATTCAACTACAGATGTCCATGTAGGTTAAACACCATCACTTTCTACTGTGTGTGTGTGTGTGTGTGTATTTTGACTCTGAAACTCGCACGTGCCCAAATAGACACTCCCACACCATCCCACTTTTCTTCCTCCAACACTCCCCACTAAACAGCTGGACACGCCCACTTTTCTGACTTTTTCCAAAGTAGAGGTGTGAAAACACCCTGCTGAAACGAGGGGGTTTCATGGCCCTTTAAATCAAGAATCATTTTCTAGACAAGCAAAAAATATTGTCTTGCTTTCAGAAATAATAATTGAACAATAATAAATAAATATACGGTAATAATCTTAATGATAAATAGCAGAAATTATAATTATATTAATGCAAAAAATAAGCGAGTTTTTCCTTTAAAAAAAGTAAAATAATTTGCAAATAGGGTAAGCAAAATAATCTTATGTCAAAAAGAAGAACAAGATTATTTTACTTACCCTATTGGCAGATTATTAAGCTTGTTTTAAGGACAAAAACTACACATTTTGACATATTATTTATTAAAACAAAACAATATGTTTTGCTTGTCTAGAAAATGCTTCTTGATTTACAAATTTTTGAATATTTGGACTAGAAACAAGACAGAAAATCAAAGTAAGAAAAGCATATTTTGCAGTGTGTAATCAGCATTTCCCTCTTGGGCATTTACCGGCAGTTCTGTATTTCTGAATTGTTGAAATGATCTACATTCTTCTTGTTTGTTTATACTCATCGCTCGGTTGCTTTTCGGTTGTTTCGTTTGAAATTGTACACCAGAGATGTTTTTTCTGCATTGAGGCAGGTCAGTGCATGCTGTTCTAAAGGTGGGTAGACGGGGCGTTGAATTTCTGTCAAACTTCCCGGTCGGGTGTCTGTTTCCAGGGACTTCCCAGTGATTCAGCATAAAACTAAACACCTAGATCAACCCTAGTAGCCATTTCCACAGCTCTGCTTTGAATAATAATAATAATAAATTGATTATGGAGGAATATGTTTTAGGATAGTCTGTCAGATACATCAAGGTTTTTGTAAAGGCTTCGAAGAATTGCGTAGCCGAGTGTTTTTTTAAGATAAATCAATTATTTCAAAGGTCACACGCTGCTGTATCCCACAGTCTCTGAGCTCTTATCTGCCTGACATAGTAATCTTTGGATTTGCTCGATGCTAACAGTGAGTTTAAGGCAGCATGGTCTCGGCTGCTTGTTTTGTGTTCACACTGGGACTTCCCACAATGACTCATCAGAATCAAAACAAGCCTGTGTGAAGGGAATGTGAAGGCCAAATTGTTGGAAATGCAAGACTATATAGAGAGGTTTGATTTGTTTTGCAGTGTACGCTTTAAGAAATGCTGGGTAACAAATAAACAAATTAAGTTAACTTGACTTTTACAAATCAAGTGGATTGAACATATAATTGAAGTTTTCCTAAAAATGATCCAAGAATTGTGTTGTTTATTTCTGAATAAATGTGTTTATATTTATATTATAAACACTGTTACTTTGAACTCTCTTGTTGTTAAAGGTAAGGTTAGAGTGTTTTGAGCCAATTTAAGGTTCAAAATAAGACATTTATAAATAAAAGTTCAGTCAGTGAGAAAAACAGTATGTAGTTTACTGAGCTCGCAAAACTGCTAGCCTGACGTCCCGATGCTATGATGTTTTCCAGTCGGCTACCAAAAATGAATACACCCTACCCGTCGGACTTTATGGGAGGAAAAATATAGCCTATTTCAGTGCTATTTCAGTTTTTTGAATGATATTAAATACAAGAAATATTTATGGTTCGTCAAAAATATACAGCTAAAGTCAGGATTATTAGCCCCCTTTCAGTTTTATTTTTTAATTTTTTAAACATATTTCCCTAATTATGTTTAACAGAGCAAGGACATTTTCACAGTATGTCTGATAATATTTTTTCTTCTGGAGAAAGTCTTATTTGTTTTATTTCGGCTAGAATAAGAGCAGTAAAATAAGCGTAATCTAGAGGCCTTTGCCTTTCATATAAGCCACTTCTGATACCAAATAATCAACTAGAAGTCAAGTTATTATTTGTTGTTCCTAAAACTTGGAAGAGCGACAAGACTTTTGTCAGGTAGTGTATGTACATTTTTTAAGTGATGTTTTGAGAGTAGCTGTTCTCACGACGTCTTAAATCGATCTCTGTCTTCTATCAGCGAACTCTCTGCCCTGTGTTTCAGAAATAGCTTGTGGTAATATGATTACAGCACGGGGGTGTAGCGTGGTACTCTAAGCTGATTTACCTTCTCATGGTCTGCCCTGTAGTGGCTCTCTGACCTCTGCTGACCCCGTGACCCCAGCCGGCTCCGTGATGACGTCACGAGTGTTGATGCGGCAGGAGCTGATGCGACAGCAGGCTCAGGACCAAGAGAGGCGAGAGGCTCAGAAACAGGCCTCCAGTGCTCAGCAGCGCCTCACTGATAGCACCCCTGCCATCTCTGTTGCATCCAACCTGCCAGCAAAGCCCACCCAGGTGCCTGTGGAAGTGCTGAAGGTATGACCAAATCCTAAATCTGCAGTTATATTACTGTCTTTTCATGGGCAATTCCGACAATATTTTATTTTTTAAATGTCTTTGTGTGATCTGTTTCATGCCCTGAGAAAAGATTTTTAGGCGGAAATTATTTGGCAATATTACCAATAAATTGGGTAAAACTTTACAATAAATGTGTATTAGTTAATGTTTGTTAATGCATTTACTAACATGAACAAACAATGAACAATACGTTTATTACAGTAATTATTCATGCTTGTTAATGTTAGTTAATGAAAATATAGTTGTTCATTGTTAGTTCAAGTTAACTCGCAGTGCATTTGCTTATGTTAACATGCATGAATTTGGATTTTAATCATGCATTAGTAAATGTTGAACTATGATTGATCACGTACTGTTTATAATTAGTTCATATTACTAAATGCATGAACTAATGAAACCTTATTGTAAAGTGTGACCATACATTGATCTCCTTTGATTACAAGCAATGCTGAAATTCTTGTTATTTTGTTGCCAATTTCCATCTTTAGTTTCCATGCACCTTGTGTAGTGATATCCCATCACCATTTTCAAAACAAACAAAAAAAAGTCATATAATTATTTCAAATTTTAAAATATATATATATATTGTTTACAGGATATATTTAATTAAAAACTAAATAAATTACATTGTATAAATGTAAAGAATAAGTTAAAAATACTTTATTTTTGTAACATATGCCACATAAAACAAAAAAACTGAATAAATTGCAAATTCATTCTCATTCAGTAGGCGGCACTTGTGTAACTGCAGGAATAATGAATTTTTTTAATTAGTTTTGTAAATAACCCTTTGACTAACCCTAAGTAGGCATGTTGACATACTTAACATAGGGGCATGGGTTGCCCCATGGTGCTTAGGGACAACATGTCAACAGTTGCCCCTAAGTTCAACTGTTGACATGTTGTCAAACTGTTGAGCATGTTTTTACTGTTTAAAATAATGACTGTTAAAGTTGTTTAATGAATGATTTACAAAATCAAACAAACATCCTGTAGCACGACTACTCTTGATTTTGGTGTTATTGTTAAAAATAAACAAGAAAACACGTTAAATGTGAATATGAAATATTTTATGGCATTATGGTGTTTTAGGATTCAAAAATGTTTTGTTTTGAATATTTTTTTAATAAATTTGTCTTACACTTCATATTTTCAGATTTTTCATACTTTATGTATTAAGTCTGACATATCAACCGTTTGAAAAAATGCATTGTGTGTGTTAATTAGTGACATTAGGAGTTAAGAAATGCAATCCAACCATTTTTTTATTGGTGGGGTAGTTAAAGGGATAAAGCAGCTGCGCTGGTATATTTAACCTGCATCGTACAGTTGAAATCGGAGTTATTAAAACCCCTTTGAAATTAGTTTTTTTTTTTTTTATATTTCCCCAATGATGTCTAACAGACCAAGGAAATTTTTACAGTATGTCTAATAATATTATTTCCTCTGGAGAAAGTCTTATTTTTTAAAAGTTTTATTTCCACTAGAATAAAAGAAATTTTTACATTTGTTATAAAACTATTTTATGGTCAAAATTATTACCCCTTTTATTATCAGCCGCTATTTTTTTTTTGATAGTCTACAGAACAAACCATCATTAAACAATAACTTGCCTAATTACCCTAACCTGCCTAGTTAGCCTAATTAACCCAGTTAACCCTTTAAATGTCACTTTAAACTGTATAGAAATGTCTTAAAAATATCTAGTCAAATATTATTTATTGTCATCATGGCAAAAATCAAATAAATCAGTTATTAGAAATAAGTTATTAAAACTATTATGTTTAGAAATGTGTTAAAAAAACTGCTCTCTATTAAACAGAAATTAGGGGAAAAATAAACAGGGAGCTAATAATTCCGGGGGGCTTATAATTATGAATTCAACTGTATGAAGATTAACTAAAGAGAAATATTGAACCTTTTCTGAAGACGGTGGTTTATTCTTATATATACTTCAATAAACCTCCCACCTTAAATTCAGTATTTAGGATTCTTCTTCCAGTATTTCTAGTTTCAGTAAAAGTGAGCTGCTCTTTCCCAACTTTACCAAACATAAGATTCAATAAACAAATGCAAAAGTGCATTGAATAAATCAAGCCTGTGAATAGCTAATTAAATATGGATGCTTACTTAAGCTTTAGATTTGCATTTAGAAATAAAATAAAAAAAATCTAATCCTCATTTCCGGCTGATCAACCCGTGTATTTGTAAATATAAAATAGTTTGTGCCATTAAATGCCTTTTATTTAATTACTGTTGTCTGATTTCTGGCCAGACATAAAAATATGACAAATTTGCATATATGATGATTTGCCTTTAGAGCAAAAAAATAAAATCACATTTTTGGCTGATCGATCAATGCATATAAAATTATTTGTAGCATTAAACGCCATTAATTTCATTACTGTTGATTTCTGGCCACTTGTATACAAAAATATATGATGAATTTGCTTAATTAAGTGCTGTTTACTTTATTAGAGTTTTCTTGTGGTTGAATTTCAGGTTCAGACTCACTTGGAAAATCCAACTAAGTACCACATCCAGCAGGCTCAGAGGCAGCAAGTCAAGCAATACCTGTCTCACACCCTGGGCAATAAAATAGCCAGTCAGACACTGGCAACGTCGACCCCACCACAGCCCTCATCCGCCCCTGAGCTGGCACCTGCCGCCAGTAGCACTCCTAGCAGCCCGCTTGCTGTGCTCAGCCTGGGGTCCAACAAAGAAGAGGTACGAACTCAATCCACATGACATATTTCCAATATAGCATGTATTAGAATAAAATAGGCAGCAATGGGACAGATTTCTCAACAATATACAGTACACATTTTATGATTAGGGGCCAGTAGGAATTTCATTAAAAATGATTTAAATTGATCAGAAATTACAGTGATTACAAAAAATATGATCGACTATGTGTGTATCTAATGTGATAAATCTATTTCTAATAAATGTATTTACTTTATTCACCAAGGAAATCAAAAACAAAATGTATTAATTAGCACAACTGTTTTCAACATTGATGATAATAATAAATGTTTTGTGCACACTATATCATCATATTAGAATGACTTCTGGAGAATTGTGTGATTATTCTTATTATCACTGAAATAAATGTGTTATTTAGTCAGAATTTCACAACATTATAACTTGAGCATTAAAAACAAAATCAAAAACTATCTTTGAATGGTAGTGTATTTTTAATGACATAATCTCCAAGTTATGTCATTTTAATAGTACTAAATGATGGCAATAAAGTCTGACTGTAAAGATAAGAGTCCTTGAGTCGATGGCATAACAAAAAGATGACCCATTTACACAATCACTGCCTGCATAACGTAATGCACTGTGATCTGGCCTACTTTCTCACGCATAGTAGATAACCTTAACCACCATTGCTCTGTTGTTATTTCTTCCACCAAAACCCACTGCCATGATTTTCTGGTTGGTAGGGTATTCTGATTTATAGGTTTTTGTATGGCTTCAGTTCAATCATCAGCGTAACTACTGTGGGGGTATTTGCAGTGGTATATTCTGCCTAACAAAAGTCATGTTTTTTTATATATTTTGTTTGTGCATTTGGGAGACATGCTAATTTTAGGTTTCATTCATTAATTTTCCTTCAGCTTAGTCCCTTATTTATCAGAGGGTCACCACAGTGCAATGAACCGCCAACTATTCCAGCATGTTTTACGCAGTGGATGCCCTTTCTGCTGCAACCAGTACTGGGAAAAACCCACACACTCTCGTATTCAAACACACTCATACACTAAGGCCAGTTTGTTTACCCAATTCACCTATAGCGCATGACATGATTTTGCACTGTGGGGGAAACCACAGCACCCAGAGGAAACCCACGCCAACACGAGGAGAACTCCACACAGAAACGTCAACTGGTCCAGCCGGGACTCAATCCAGTGACCTTCTAGCTGTGATGCGACAGCGCTAACCACTGAGCCATAATTTTAGGTTTCTGGATTCAAAGTGAATGCACAATATTTATTTTAGGAACTGTACTTTTCGTTTGATTGTGAGATTCTTTTAAAAATGACGTTTACTAGGGGTGTCAAAATTAACTGTTTCTTCGGTGCACCACGGTGCAGATGCAGACAATTCGGTATTGGTTCAGTAATAATCATAACCGGTTATTGTGTACTGATGTCATTTATCTCATATGCGATATGGCGAGCGTGAGTATTTACAACGCTTGAACTACTTAAAACTCAGAAACTGCTTAATTTCACTGCGTGTGTGTTTGCTGTATCAGTGATTGAGAGAATGAAAGTACTCCATTTCTCTCTTTCTCTCTCTCTCTCGCTCTCTCTCTCAATTAAATAAAAAAATTGCTTTATCGGCTTGACAAATGTTATTGCCAAAGCAGTTCTAAAGTTTACCTAAAAATAAGAGAAAATAGTACACATAAAATAAAAAACACTGCAAACAGTAGTAGTAGTAAAAAAAAGATATATACATATAATAATTAAATAAAAATATAAATAATAAATCTGATTATTTTTATTATTATTCATTATATCACATTATTTTTCAACATATATTATTATTCAGTATATCATAGTATTATTCAATGTATATTATTATTATTCGATTTATTACGTTGTAATTCAATATATCACATTATTATTCAATATATCATATCTTTCATATCATATTATTCATTTATAACAATAAAAATAATAATAAATCAGAATAAACTTGACATTTAACTTAGCAATTAACATTTTAGGATGAAACGGTAATACAAAACAATAATGATCAGTATATTTACAATGATTCACTTAAAATTATCTAGGTGTGCGTGCATGCGTGTGCGTGCGTGTGTGCAGGCGCATCACTGGTGTTTTTATTGCTCTGCCTTCTCTTTTTGTGACATGCATTAAGGTATTGGGACGCTTGAAGGACACAGTCATTTTTTTTCCCCCTAGTAAATATTGAAGCTGTGTTTTTTTTGTCTAACTAGGTGAATTATGGGTAAATGTTCTGTATTTTGGTCTCTCTCTCTCTCTCTCTCTCTCTCTCTCTCTCTTTCTCTCTCTCTCTCTCTCTCTCTCTCTCTATACTAATATGCTAGCTTACTTTCAACTGCAAAATTATAACTTTGCTGCTGTAGCTAATTCCAATGAAGACATTACCATAGATTTGAGCACTTATTCAAAATACCGTGTCTCAGATCTGAAAGAGATCTATCTTAGTTAGATAACAGAATTCATTATCATTCATTTTTATATTCCATATGTGATGCAGGTTATGTGAGAAATCAGAGTTTAGTATTGTGTTGTCAAACAATGCTGCGTTTACAGCATAAGTTTTCATTCTCCCGTTCATACTTTAGCCAGCTTAGTTTGCAACTCATAGTCTGTGCATTTCACATGCTTACAAAACTACACTAACTAGTAATTATTGTCCTAATAATCTCAACTCTTAAGCCCTTTAGAGTACGCTAGACAACTAATTAAGTGTTTGGCTCTGAGACTCGGGAAAAAGATCCGTTTGAAGAATGCGCCTCGCGTTTGCTAAATACAATAGCGCGCTTTGTCAGGTCTGCGTGAAAGTCGGCCAGACTCTCTCAGGCTCTTTGCTTTTGGTACCACATTGTGCTGGTAAATATCACACTCGCGGCTCAATGACCCCAGCACACTTTGCACTTTGTGTGGGCTTGGCTATTAAAGCCTCTCAGTCCCCTATTTCTGCTGTTAATATCACTGAAGGAGCGTTCTCAATCAAAAACACTGGCTGGACACAACATCCTTGCGATGAAATGCACGCTAGCTAAGGTTGGAGACTTTGAATGGGATGTCTGTGTATTTCTCATCTTCATGTGGCCGGTGTGTCACTCTGGAAACTGCTGTGTAGTGTGTTATTTAAACATTCATCTGCCTAGTGACTCACCAGGAACTCACACTTTTAAAGCTGCTTTTGTGTGTGTGCCGTAGCGAATCATTTTCTACAAGTCCAGCTAAGCCGTTCGTTCTCTGTCTTTGCATATGCACAGATCGAAGACGTCATCGATGACATCATCAGCCTGGAGTCGAGTTTAAACGATGAATTTATGACGCTGATCGACTCGGGTTTGCAGCTTCCCAGCACGGTATGTAGCAACATCCGCAATTCTTTTGAGGATCAATTGAGCAATGCAAAAGATTTTGCCAACGATTTCTTAAGAACTTGTTAAGGAACGTTGGTTGAACTTTGTTTTGCATGGCATTTTGGAGCATGCATATGTGTTGGTTTGTTTTTTCTACATCCACCTGTTTTTTCTACGATTTGTGTTTGGTTTGCTTGGAAGGGATAGTTCACCCAAAGCTGAAAATTCAGTAATCATTTACTCCTATTTCACAAACCTTTTGACTTGATTTCTTTTATTAAACACCAAAGAAGATATTTTAAAGAATACTGGCAACTTGTAACTATTGACTTCCATAGTATTTATTTTTTCTACTAAGAAAATCAGTGGATACATACTTTCAGCTTTCTTCGAAATGTTTTCCTTAGTGTTTAAAAGAATAAAGAATCTCCTAAAGGTTTGAAATCACTTGAGGGAGTGTTAAAAAGTGAGGTGAACTATGCCTTTAACTCACCATTGTGTAATTAAAAAAGTCACAATTAACTTTTTATAATCAGAAGTATGGCTGCACCATATTGGAAAAATCTGATTTATTTTTATGCGCTTAATATTGTGATATTTTTACGGTATTGTGATATGAACTATATTTAGGTACAGGAATTAAATTACCCCAATGCAAAAAAATGCTCTTCTTACTTTTTTGTCCCATTTCCAGTTCAAATATTAAGAAATTCTTAGAACAAGTAAAATAAGTTTTTACCTAGTGAGGCAAGTGAAGTAATCTAGTTTTTGCTTTGAAATGTTGATATTACAAATAGGAACATGACCAAAATTCTTAGTAAGATTCATTTTTTTTTTTGATAAATCAAAAATCCAAAATTTCATATAAATATAGCGATTAAACACAATTCTGAGGCTCCTGGTCAACTATAATTCACTCAACTTGGGTGGCACGATATTGGAAAAATCTAACATTGCAATATTTATATTCTACGATATATACTGCGATATGAAAACAATTTCACTAGATAAGTTGAGTAACTATTTGCAAATTTATCATTTTAAAATGTATCATTTTAGATTGATTGGAATGATTCCGTATAGGAGTGCACAAAATATAATAAACAATCTACAAGCATAGAGAAATTCAATAAAGAAAAATATACAAATTAAATTAATATTGTTTTATTGTTTTCAGAGGAGTCAAACTGTATTCAGTTATACAGTAATTAAACAATCTAATGTAAAATAGTGCTGGGAGATTTGGAAAAACTGTAATCTCGATAATTATTTTCCACATTGAACGATAACTATATACAGTTGAAGTCAGAATTATAAGCCCCCTTTACAATTTTTTCTTCTTTTTTAGATATTTCCCAAATGATGTTTAACAGAGCAAGGAAATTTGTAAGATGTATGTCTGATAATATTTTTTCTTCTGGAAAAAAGTCTTATTTGTTTAATTTCTGCTAGAATAAAAGCAGTAATTAATTTTTTAAACACCATTTTAAGGACAAAATTATTAGCCTCTTTAAGCTATATTTTTTCTCAATAGTCTACAAAACAAACCATCTTTACACAATAACTTGCCTTATTACCCTAAACTGAATAATTAACCTAATTAACCTAGTTAAGCCTTTACATGTCACTTTAATCTGTATAGAAGTGTCTTGAAAAATATCTAGTCAAATATTATTTACAGTCATCATGGCAAAGATAAAATAAATCCATATTAGAAATGAGTTATTAAAACTATTATGTGTAGAAATGTGCTGAAAAAATCTCTACATTAAACAGAAATTGGGGGAAAAATAAACAAGCGATCTAATGATTCAGGGGGGCTAATAATTGTGACTTCACCTGTTTATTTCGACATAAGTTGTTAATGCTTTCAGATTTAGAAGAGTACCCCAAGAATAACTGAAGCCACAAAAATCAGTAAATCAGTTCCAGTAAATGGCATAACATATTTTAGGCCAATAAATTTTCAGTGTCCGAAAATTCAGTAAATCTCTAATACCGACACACTTCTAGATTCCCATTGTTGCACAATTCTGCTGTGTGATTGGCTCGTAGATCAATTTTAAGTAAAAGGAAGTCCAGAGCTTATCATTGTTATTGACATAAATTTTATCACAATTCGATATAATATCGTTTATCAGCCCAGCCCTACTGCATAGTCTTCGTTGGATAAACAATTCAATAAAATTAAACATTATTAATATATCAAAGTTACAGTTTCTTACACCTGAATGCTTTTAAAACTCTCACACAGTCACAGGCCTCAAAAAACATGTGAAATGATGACTTATAATCCAGACTCAACATTGCGTATTCTAGCGATGTGACTATTGCGAATGATCACGTTGCGATATCGATGCTAAAACAAAATAATGTTCAGGAGTTGCAGGATGGTGCAGTGCGTTTTAGGGTTGTTGCGATTCCATTAATTAATCTTACCATACTATACCAGCTGAAGTATCACGATACTAAGTAGTATTGCGATACTGTCATTCATAACTCAAAATATTAAAAAATTTGTCAGATTTTTTATGTTTTAAAAAGCCTACTTGAATTTAATTAATAATTCCCTTAAGGACAAAAAGTATTATTTGCACCTCACTTCATCTAAAATGTATTTATTATTATTTTATTCTTTTTGTTTATTTTGTAGATGAATAAAGAAACAAATTATACCGAATAAAATTAGTTTCAAAAGTGCATTCTTTTTAACAAAATTAGCCTGTATGAAGTGCTCAAAAATAGTTTCAATGTTTCCTGTTGCTATTTTTTTATTTTTTTTATTGTCTCATTGAGTAACAATCCAAAGTAATTTAAAATTTAGTGACTTTTCCCACATGCAACTTAATCTATTGTAGATAAACCATTAATGACGATATTACCGTTTACAAACTACAGTAGCACCGCCAGTATTTTGAAGTCACAGTATCCCAATACTACTATAGTACCGGTAAACTGTGCAACCCTAGTGGGTAGCACGTTCGCCTCACAGCAAGAAGGTCGCTGGTTCGAGCCTCAGCAGGGTCAGAAGGAATTTCTGTGTGGAGTTTGCATGTTTTCCTCGTGTTCGCGTGGGTTTCTTCCGGGTGCTCCGGTTTCCCTCACAAGTCCAAAGACATGTGGTACAGTTGAATTGGAAGGCTAAATTGTTTGTTGTGTATGTGTGTCAATGAGTATGCATGGATGTTTCCCACTCATGGGTTGCAGCTGGAAAGGCATCCACTGCGTAAAACGTGCTGGATGAGTTGGCTATTCATTCCACTGTGACAACCTCAGATTAATAAAGGGACTAAGCTGAAAAGAAAATGAATGAATAAAAATATCTAAATAAAATGTAAATCAATAAATCTAAGTGACAAATCCCATTTTGATTCTTTCTTTCTCTCTCTCTATTTTTTTTTCATTTCTGTGGCGAAGCTTCCATAATTGCCGGTAATTAATTGAAGCCCACAGTTCTGCCTTAGTCTTTCACAAGCTAATTTGTCTCCAAGCGAATCCTGCCCTGACAAGCCATTGCTTTGGAAATATAATTTCGGTTTTCAAATCAGTAATTTTCAGTCGAGTCCGGGAGCTCAGGTTGAGGCTGTTATGTAATCCGTCGTGATTAAAGGTTAACTCAGTGTATTGTCAGTTTAGTGTTTTGCATTCAGGACGTTTGGGTTGAATGTGGGCTTGAAACACTGGAAGCAAATATAAACTTCTGACACATGGCTCACAATGGGTGGGGTTGGAGTGACTGAGAGCTGCCGCACTCACAGATGCATGCCCACTGAACGTGTGTGTGTGTGTGTGTGTGTGCTCACAGGCTGTAGCAAGCGTTCGCCTTTTTTAATTCTCCAAGAGATATTTCCCCATTTTTAAACGTTTTTTTTTTAACGGAGAGACACAGAAAGAGGAAGCACTTGGGTGTGTAAGAGACGATGAGGATTCTGGTTTTACTGCCGGAGAATGAAAAGAAAAAAGGCAAGATTGAGGTAAATCGAGTGCATTTTAACTTCTTGCGCTTTCATTTTCTGCTGGAGATGGTAGGGTTGGGATTTAGTTACTTGCATTAGAGGCAGCATGATGTGTATAAATAACCGTAGCATGTTGTGAACGTTCTAATGGAACTGTTTGAGCGTATGCTTGTTTAGAAGAGCTGATTCAGAAGAGGAATGAATGGATTTTATGCAAATCCCATACAGGTATCAGCTGTTTGTTTTGCTCGAATGAGAAGTCATCTTTCAGGCTTGCTCTGTTTTATCAGGACGGCTGAAATGTTTGCTGGTAGCTCTGCCTGTTTGAAACTTCACACATGCGTATGGAATTTCGGTCAGCGGTTTAATAATTGTAAACATTTCTGACACATCGGTTAAGAGTTATTAGTTTTAGTTCACTTATAAAACAAGAGCAAAGCTGTTTTTTGTGGTTATGCGCTCTGTTTATAAGCTTTTAACGAAGGAAATGTTACAAATTTAAAAATTTACCCTCCGAATTTCTTCTTATTGATTGTTTTTTTGCATCTATAATCATCATTTCCTTGTTGAATTGGATCACTTCAGCAGCGCACATGCACACACAGCCGTTTGTCCATTGTGAAAGATGTCCCCCCTCAGATATGAAGGCTCATGTTTGTGGTTATCTTCTAAACTGAATGAATGTTATCCACCCTCCGCACCATGTGTTAATGTGGGGTCCTCGGACTAGATAATGCAGTAGGCGGGGTCATGCTATAACACATTGTGATTGGTTTTTAACAGCTGCCAGTCTCAGGGAACCTCCTGGATGTGTACAGCAGTCAGGGCATGGCGGCGCCCACCATCACCGTCAGCAACTCCTGCCCCGCAGACCTGCAGAATGTCAAGAGAGAAATGAGCGGTCTGTAGCTCTTCATTTCGCTCTGCTTCTTCTTCCTCATTTGTCTGTCACCCGTCCTTCATGAGTCAATCTGACTGTATCAGCAGAGTTATACACACCACATTTGCCATTTCCCAGTTTCACAGCAGTTCCCAGTTCATGCACAGACACTAGCGATGTTTCATCCACCTATTTTTATGTGCGTTTTGGAATATACCATAAAAGAAATGCTTGATATAAACACAAAGATGCATACATTTTGAACATGAAAATAATAAACATATGCGCATAACTGAGTAGGATAAGCATTTTAATTCATCTGCATAAACTACAGTAAAAACACTTTTACTGAAATTCCAGTATGCACATTAAAAAATGGAGCTGTTGCATTATTTGCAAATATTTTGTGCAATATTCCAGTTTTGCGCATACAATTAATTTGATCTTTGGATGGAAACATAGCTAATGTTAGAATACAGTCATAACTCCGTATGATTCATTAGTGTATCAGTGTTTATTCATGCTTTTGCAGAACTTGTGACTAATTAAAAGACTCAGTGGTGTTCAGTTACTATAATGCATGCAATAAAAATAAGATCAAGGTTTCAGTAGCACATGTAAAACATTAGCATCGATTTACGAGTTTTATTATTAGATTTTATTGATCGGAGAGTAGGTATGGTTTGTGAATCGTATGTAGTTAATTTAAAGGTGAAATCTGAAATCACCTGTTAGTTGGTTCCAGTATTATTTTTAGTCTTTAAACACCTTTGTAGTTTAATTAGTGTTTGAAATAAAGTTTTTACTTTTAGAATTTTTGATTTCATTTTAGAAGTATTAAAAGCTTTAGTAATAATGTTACATAGACTCACCGGCCACTTTATTAGGTACCCCTTACTAGTACCGATACAAGGCAGGAGGGATCCATGCTTTCATGTTGTTAATGCCAAATTTTGACCCTACCGTCTGAATGTCAGAGCAGGAATCGAGACTCATCAGACCAGGCAACGTTTTTCCAATCGTCTATTGTCCAATTTTTTGTGAGCCTGTGCGAATTGTGGCCTCAGTTTCCTGTTGTTAGCTGTTTTTTTGCACCCGTTGTAGTCTTCGCTGCTGTAGCCCATCTGCCTCAAGGTTGGATGTGTTGTGCATTCAGAGATGCGCTTCTGCATCCCTCGGTTGTAACGAGTGGTAATTTGAGTTACTGTTGCCTTTATCATCTCAAACCGGTCTGGCCATTCTCCTCTGACCTCTGGCATCAACAAGGCATTCACGCTCACAGAACTGCCACTCACTGTATATTTTTTCCACCTGCTGTGGTCTTCTGCTGCTGTAGCCTAGCTTTTTCAGACCATTCTCTGTAAACCCTAGAGATGGCTGTGTGTGAAAATCCCAGTAGATCAGCAGAAATACTCAGACCAGCCCGTCTGGCACCAACAACCATGCCATGTTCAAAGTCACTTAAATCACCTTTTTGATTGTCTTGACCATGTCTACATGCCTAAATTGCTGCCATGTGATTCGTTGATCAGAAATGTGTGTTAACAAGCAGTTGGACAGGTGTACCTTATAAATGGCCGGTGAGTTTTTATCTAAATAAATAATAAATGCTTATGTGTAGCATTACTAATGTATCCTGTGTTACTAAAACTTTGAATAATATTAATATTAGAACATAAATTCTACAAGTAAAAATCTGAACTTTATATATAAAATAACAAAAAAAAATTAATAATACAAAAATATATATGTAAGTGTATTTAATGTTTGATGCTGTGCTTCTATTTTAGTTATGACTTTTTAACATTCTGTAAGGCGTTTACAGATGAAAAATAGCCATTCTTGGCTAATTCTGGCACATTTTACAGTGATGTTTATTAATGTGCATTGACCCTGCAAACAAATAAACTAAACTAAACAATATATATATATTGTTTATATATACTATATATATCTTATATTAAAATACTATGTATTATGATAAGTGAAAAGCTTAGGTGCAGGCTTCAGACAGTACAAAATACAGACATTGCAACTAGCTGAAATAAAATATGTTCATGTTTGTTTATATATATATATAATATATATATTATAATTTATATAAAAAATGTTTTATGGTTTTATTCTCAATATTATTTCTACTGAAAATCCCACATATTAATTAGTCTAATTGCATAACTTGCCCTCAGCTAGTGGTGTGACATTTGGGTGGGTGTGGCCATCCTTTCGTTCGACCAATAGCAGATGATGAAAGTGTTTTTGCCAGTTCTCTGTGGTGATGCCAGTGACAAACAAATCCATTAAAATAAATTTCTTTATTTGTTCTTATTCATTTACAGATGCTGAGGCAAAAGCTATTATGAAGGAGAGGCAGAAGAAAGACAACCATAACCTGAGTGAGTTTTGATTTCTTGCAGATTTGACCTGCAGTTTTATCTCTGAGATATGCCATCACTTTCTGCACGTAACAACCCTTAAGATTAATGGTCCTTTCTAGAGTACAAGGAAGTAAATTACCTTTCTGTTTATCTGAAACATCTTGCCTTTCTTGTCGTTCTTATCCACTTAAAGAATGCCAGTTTTTATGTGTGTGTGTGTGTGTGTGTTTTTCTGTAGTTGAGAGAAGAAGAAGGTTCAACATTAATGACCGCATTAAGGAACTTGGAGCTCTGATTCCAAAGTCCTCTGACCCGTTAGTATCACTGCTGTCTTTCTCACTTCTCTCTGGTTTTCAGCTCTGATTAGATCAGTTCAACTGTAAGGACACTTAAAAAAAGAAAGTCTGCACAATATATCGTTTCAGCATTGATTATCGCAATTTGATCATTCAAAATAGTCACATCGCAAGATATGCAATGTTGATTCTGGATTTTAATTGATCAATTGCATTTGTTTTTGAGGCCTGTGACTGTTTTATGATTTTAAAAACATCCAGGCATTAGAAATTGTACCGTTTGTAGCTTTAATAATGGTGAATTTGATTGATTGAATTATGTTTATTATTCAATTACTGTACCTGAAAACATCTTTTTCTTGATTGTATAAATCTTTGCTTATAGATTGTTTATTAGATTTTTAGTTACACTCTCCTACAGAATCATCCCAATCAATCTAAAGTTATCAATTCTTTCCAAATGACATTATCGAATCATCCAGTGAAATTGTATTCATATCACATTATATACACTACCTGACAAAAGTCTTGTTGTCGATTTCAGTTGTAAGAGCAACAAATAATAACTTGACTTCTAGTTGATCAATTGGAAAAGTGGCAGAAAGTAGATTTTTTTCCAATGAGTCATCCTTTGAACTGCATCTCAATCATCAGAAATACTGCAGTAGACCTACTGGAACCTGCATGGACCCAAGTTTCTCACAGAAATCAGTCAAGATTGGTAAAGGAATAGTTTGGGGTTGCATTCAGTATGGGGCTGTGTGAGAGATCTGCAGAGTGGATAGCAACATCAACAGCCTGAGGTATCAAGACATTTGTGCTGCCCATTACATTACAAACCACAGGAAAGGGCAAATTTTTCAGCAGGATAGAGCTCCTTCTCATACTTCAGCCTCCACATCAAAGTTCCTGAAAGCAAAGAAGGTCAAGGTGCTCCAGGATTGGCCAGCCCAGTCACCCGACATGAACATTATTGAGCATGTCTGGAGTAAGATGAAGGAGGAGGCATTGAAGATGAATCCAGAGAATCTCAAAGCTCATGGGAGTCAGACACAATATTCATTCATTTTCACGGCACCATGACTTTATATTCTATACTGGACATTATTTCTGTTAAGTGACGAGACTTTTGTCTAAACAATTCAAAATCAAGGCACGATCATATTTTATTTTAGTAAACTAAGTGTAATCTAGAGGCCTTTGCCTTTCATATAAGCCACTTCTGATACCAAATGATCAACTAGAAGTCAAGCTATTATTCGTTGTTCCTAAAACTTGGATAGATGACAAGACTTTTGTCAGGTAGTACACATCGCAGAATAACAAATTATCGCAAATGTTAGACTTTTTTTCCCCCAATATCGTGCAGCCCTAGTCTCAGACCATTTCCTCATGTTGAAGCAAGTTTCCTACTCAATATACAGTTGAGGGCAAAATTATTAGCCCTCTTGCAAAATGTTTTCTTTTTCAAGTGTTTCTCAGTGGATATTTAAAATTATCAGGGAAATTTTCACAGTATTTCTGATAATATTTTTTCTTCTGGAGAAAGTCCCCTCATAAATTAGCCCACTTGGCTACAAAACAAACCATTGTTATATACAATGATTTGCCTAATTATCATAACTTGCCTAGTTAACCCAATTAACCTAATTAAACATTTAAATGTCACTTTAGGCTGAATACTAGTATCTTGAAAAATATCTAGTAGAATATTATGTACTGTCATCATGGCAAATATAAAAGAAATCAGTTATTAGAAATGAGTCATTAAAAACTATGTTAAGAAATGCAATGAAAAAAACTTAATTGAACAGAACTTTGGGGAAAATATAAAAGAATTTAAATTTAAAAGGACGGCTGTATATCAATTATACAGCTTAAAATGAAATCTAAGTGTAATCTGTGTTTGTTGTATTTACAGTATCTCTGATTCTTTGATTCAGTGCATGTGTCTATAAGATAGCCTGTTTGTATTTTCTGAACAGGGAGTTGCGCTGGAACAAGGGCACCATATTAAAGGCGTCAGTCGACTACATCCGCAAGCTGCAAAAGGAGCAGCAGAGATCCAAAGAGATGGAGACCAGACAGAAGAAACTCGAACACGCAAACCGCAGTCTGATGCTGCGCATTCAGGTAGTGCAGGTCTTGCTTAGAAAATGACCATAGTTCAGTCCATCTTATGTTTATGCTATTATATTATTCATAAATATTTTGAATTAGCTTTATGTTTTCAGTGTTTGTAATCTGCAGTGCTCAGCATAAATGAGTACACCCCCTTTATATCTATTTCTCAGTGAATATAGCCAAACATTTTGTTGCATTTAAACTAAACGGTTTTATTAAAGGGTTATATATACATTAAAATAAGTTTGGTTACATCTTTAATAATAGAGAGATAATACATTTATATTCAAATGAGGTGTTATACAAACTACAATATTTCAACAAATCATTATATATTTTTTTATGTTTTTTATTGATTTTTCCAGTTTGTTAAAACATTTTCCCCAACATTTTGATCTGGGTGTACTTTTGGACTGATCTTTAGTTTTTTGTTAGATTAGTTCCAGTTTTAGCTTTGGTACTGACTAATCTAATGTATATACACTAATATATTATCGTAATGCATTTAATAGAAAATATACATTTATAAGAGAGATCTGTGAACGACGTACTCATTTATGCTGAGCACTGTAACTATATACTTTTTTATACATGTATTATTTTTGTTAGTTTTAATTATTGTATTTCTTCATGCTTAAACTGAAGTTCATTTCCAAGGAAGCATTTTTAGTTATCTTTAAAGTGTATTTTATTTTAGGTTACATTTCGTATTTAAAATATATTTAAATATATAAGAAATGTTCTTTTTTTTTTGTATATTTAAATAATAATAATAATAATAATAATAATAATAAATATATATATATATATATATATATAAGGTCTTGTTTTTTTTCAGCTTGTTTAAAAAAAACTATTAGTTTTATAGTTTTAGCTACATTTAATAACACAGCACTTTGAATATTGATCAAGCTTGTTGTATTTTATTTAAAGGTGCTCTATGTAAGCTTTTGACTTTTCTAAAGCATAACAATACCATATTATGTTTGCAGATTTTTAAAAAACAATGCTAAGTGAACCTTCTTGTTTATCTGCTGTCGTAGTAGTATGGCAATAAATGTCATGTTAAATGGCATTCCAACTCACATAATTAACATTTAACGCTGAATAAAGCACATGAGGTGTACCTGAGGTGATCATGCAATCAGCAGCAAGAAATAGAAGCCTTTTCTAAAATAGAAATTCCTAGTATGGGACAAAAACTCCTTTTAATATGGAGAATATTCCTTCTATCGCGTGCCGTTGCTTTTATTTAGAGCACTATTTAAATCAGCCTTACATCAGCCTTGAGGCTTGATCATCAGACTCGCTTCTGTTGGTCCTCAATCTGGCAACCTGCGCTTACGTTTATTTTGATCAAGGAATGCAATACCTAGTTCAACCACTGTGTGTCAAAGTAACATACTGCACCTTTAAAACCTGATAGTAGATTATTGGTTTACTAATTATAGAGTAATTATTGCATTTCGGCTCATTTTAATTGATTGGATCATTTTGTTTAATATTATAAACATTTGATGTTATTTTTATTTTGATGGCTCCTCTTTTACTTCATTATTTTGCTTTTTAGCCCAAAATTTGCATCCCTTTTTAAACATTTCCATAGTAATATTGGAATGAATCACATCAATGACTTAAGAAGGTCGACAAAAGCATTGCTCATAAAATCAGTAATATGTCAGTTTTATTAAAAAAAATAATAATAAATTCCAAACACTCAACTACACTGTAAAAATAATCAAAATGTTTAAGGAGTTAACATGAAGGAATCAAGTTAACATATTAGTTTATACAAATTTAAGTGGATTGAATGTAAAACAATTAAGTTGTCCTCTGAAACTTCAACAATTGTATTGTTTCAGCACATTTAAAATAACTAGTTTGAACAAACTAGTATGTTTTTTTTGGAGCATACAGGTATTTTTGCATATCCATATTGTCCATATTGTCATTTTCTTTATTTGCAATTGTATATGCATCCTATGCATGTGTAAATTCCCCTGTTCACAATTGAATAATAATTCCTGTGTGATCAACAGGAACTGGAAATGCAAGCTCGGCTCCATGGCCTCTCGTCATCTCAGCTCTCAGACTCTCTGACCCAAACACAGACTTTAACACTGGAGCACAACCCCAACACTGACCTCTCCAAAACCCTCCTGTCAATCACCCAGACCACACCCTCTTCCTTCCTGTCTCCGCCCTCCTCCACCTCATCAGTTGGCGGGACGGTCACCAGTCCTTTAGAGCTTGGCACACTCAGTTTCGGAGAGTTGGACGACCACACGGCCTCCGTCTTCAGTCCAGCCCTGATGGCCGATATGGGCTTAGGGGATATTCTGATGGATGACACCGGTGCTCTTTCACCCGTAGGAGGCGCTGATCCCCTCCTTTCCGCGGTTTCTCCAGGAGCCTCAAAAACAAGCAGTCGTAGAAGTAGCTTCAGCATGGAGGAAGACTTGTGACGTCTTCAATTCAGATGCTAGTTTATCTGCTTGTGCACTCCATTGTCGGCCAGTAGAGGGCAGTGTAATCTTGACGTCTTTGTTATTCGCTGTACTGTAGACATCCTCGAGACTCGATTCTGGAGGAGATGCAGGTATAGAAAGCCTTCTGGATGCTTCATTTGTTATCTCAACAACCTCTGATTAATATATATATGTAAAAAAAAGAATGAATGAATGAATGAATGAATATTAAAGAATATATGTACATAGAGTAGAGGTAGTGCTAAACATATATTTCGTATTTCTAATATATATGAAAAGTAGCACTATAATTATTAACTCCTGACCACCAACCATATGAGTTTAAGTGGATGAATAGTTTATTTTTAAGATCACCTATACAGTGAGCTTTAAAAGTCTGAGACTGGAAAATTAGGAAATATACAAAATTATTTAAATTAGGTAAAAAATATGTAGAGTTAAAGTCAGAATTATTAGCCCCCCTGTATATTTTTCCCCCAATTTCTGATTAATGGAAAGCTTTTTTTTTTTTTCAGCAAAATAGTTGTAATAACTCATTTCTAATAACTGATTTCTTTTGTCTTTGACTAGACATTTTTCAAGATCCTAGTATTCAGCTTAAAGTGCCATTTAAAGGCTAAACTAAGTGAATTAGGTTAATTTATCAGGTAATTAGGCAAATCATTGTATAACGATTGTTTGTTCTGTAGACAATCAAAAAAATATTGCCTATTATTTTTAAAATATAGCGGCTAAACATAATGACCTTGAAATAGGGCTGGGCTGATTAATGATACTATATTGAATCGCGATAAAATTTCTGTCAATTACATAAGCTTTGGACTTTTTTTTTTACTATATATTGATTTAAAAGCCAATCACACAGCAGAAATGTGCAACAATGGGAGTCTAAAAGTGTGTTAATTTTAAAGATGTACTGAATTTTCGGCCACCAAAAATTTATCGGCTGAAATTATGCCATTTAATGGACTCTCTAATTTTGGTGGCATCAGTTATTGTGGGGGTACTCTTTCAACCCATTAACTACCCCACCAAGAAAATAAATGTATGGATTGCATTTCTTAACTCCAGTCGCTAGTTAACACACTCAATGCATTTTTTTTCCCAACACTTCTCATCATTTCTAAAATATCAGCCCTTTACCAAATGGTTGATATGTAAAAGTACCGAACTTAATACATGTACTGAAAAAAATCTGAATATATGAAGTATAAGACCAATTTATTAAAAAAAAATAAAAAATTGAATACTTAATCACCTTCATTTTTTTGAGTGTGCCATAAAATATTTCAGATTCTCATTTAACATGATTTCTTGTTTTTTAACAACAAAACAAAAAACTAAATTTAGTGTTGTAGTGCAAAATATGTTTGTCTAACTTTTATTTATTTATTTTTATAATAAGTAATGCTGTGTGTGCAAGCCACTATTTAAAGCAGTCATTCTTTAAATGACTTTAACAGTCATCATTTAAAACAGTAAAATCATGGTTAACCCTGGAAGCATTAACAACTTGTATAAAAATATATATCGTTATCATTCAATATGGACAATAATTATTGAGATTGCAATTTTGCCATATCGCCCAGCCCTATTTTAAATATATATATACTTTTGATTAAAACTACTTTTATTCTAGCCAAAATTAAACAAATAAGACTTTCTTCAGGAGAAAAAAAAAATTATAGGAAACACTAAAAAATTCCTTGCTCCATTAAACAAAAAATTCACAGGAGGGCGAATAATTTTGACTCGTTCAAGTGCTTTCCTCACTAGATCAATCTAAATACATTCACTAATTTTAACTTGAATTATTATATTAATATTATACACTACCATTCAATGCTTTGATGTAATAATAATGTTTAATTTCAGCAAAAAAAAATGCATTAAAAAGTGATCATAAGTGAGAGGAAAGGAAATTATAATGCATTAAACAAATAATTAAAACTTTATTCAGCAAAGAATCCTGTAAAATCATGTGCCATGGTTTTCACAAACATATCAAGCAGCACTGATGATAATGATAACAGACCCTTTTCACATTTCCAGGTTTCTCCACTGCAGAATTTGTCATAGTTGGGTAAACTTGAGCGCAGTGAATGGGAGAGTATTACAAATATTATTTTTACAATCCTATTTGCTGAAATAATAAAAGAAAAGCTCCACGATGGTGTTACAAGACTTTCAGAAAAAGGAAAAAAAATAGTGTGAGACTCCCAGCATACACTTATGCTGGGAGACACTAAATTTTTAGACACTAAATTAGAAACACCTCACACAAGTGGTAATGCGTTTTTTATTATTTAATGCAAAGATGATATAAAACATACATAAAATAATAAGTTAAAACATTTATATGCATTAAAAAATCAGGATTTAAGTTTGTGATGACAGTTAAGCACGTCATAACAGTCTTGTGAAAAGGGTCCATTAAATAAAATGTTAATGAGCACCACATTAGCATATTTTAACTTCATTTTAACCTATATTAAAATAAAAAATGGCTATTTTAAATTGCAAAAACATTTAACAGCATCACTGTTTTTGATCAAATAAATGTCTACTTTCAAATAACACAGTCATACTACCCTTAAACAGTTAAACGTTGGTTTAATTTGAGGAAATTGTATTAAGATGGAACTGCCTCAGACTTTTGCAGCTTACTGTATGTCAGAGTTTACAGTAGTAGCACATCGAATACGAAAGGGACAGTTGTGTGTTATTTCCCTTTTTTAAATGTGAGAGTGTGTGTGTATATCACGCTGTACATCTGTGCTTTTAATAACGGCGGCAGTAAAACTGTTCCTAAACGTGTCCTCAGGAAAAAGCGACAGACAGAAAAGTGAACATCCTGTTCAGCTCGGCTTTCGTTTCCTGTTGAGATTGTTGTGCTCTTAGGTTGATTATGTAGCACAATGAAAACCAGCTTTATATCAACAGTCGGAAAGATGCATGTGTGGCTTGCAGGGATCACCTCACTGATGCAGAACAGATAGCGGTGTGTGATTTACATCTACGGTTTATGATATTATCACACTTAAGCCTGATATTCTAATAGTTTTAAAGAGATTGTTCTCGGAAAATGAAAATGACTCTTTACACTTCTTTCAAAACTTTAAAAGTTCATTCTGTGAAACACAAAAGAAGATATTTTAAAGAATGCTGAAAACTATTGACTTCTATACAGTAAAAACAAATACTATGAAAGTCAAGTGATACCAGCTTTCAGCATTAGATCCACTTCAAAATGAGTACATTTTTATTTTTGGGTGAACTACCCCTTTAAGTGTGCAAAGAATCAAAAATGCGTCCAAAAGCTTTGACTATGTGATGAACCTATTAGATTGAGCCTTTAATTCAACTGACGAACGCAGAAGTGTCCGTAAATATCTGTTTTTTAATTATTATTCATAAGTTAAAGTGATATAATTAGTATCACAGAAGCACTGCCAAAAATTAAACAAATAATGACATAAAGAAACTTGTGGATACTATCTAATATGTGACCCCAGAGTACAAAACCAGCCTTACTGTATAGTTTTAGGAATAGCCAAAAAATACATGAAATGAGTCAAAATGACTGATTCTTTCTCTTCTGTCAGAAATCATTTGTATATTAAATAATGATCATGTTCTATGAAGATTTTCGTGAGTAAATATATCAAATCTTCATGTTTGATTAGTATGTAATTATCTTTTTTAACCCTCACACTCAAAATAAGTATAAAATCAAATAAGTTTTGAGGATGTCAGGATTTTTCCTGGGAATACTATTTCTAAAGGAGCTGTTGACATGAAATTGAACCAGGTAATGTGTAGTTACAATGGAATGACACAAGGAGAAAGTACTGAACTACTGAAACATATTTAATACTTCATATAAAAGGCTGTGTTGGTGATGGCCGCTTAAAGGCGCCTCTCAAATGGAGAATAAAGTCACATGCATTGCTCAGGTGTGAGTTTCTCACAGACTTCAACAAAGGGTCAAAATCTTGATGGTTCTGTGGCTCTCGTCTATCAAATCTGATCTTTATTTGGTATTTTTATTGGATTCAGGTCAGGTGTTTGGCTGGGCCATTCTACAGCTTGATTTTCTTTCTCTGAAAGCATTTGAGAGTTTCTTTGGCTGTGTTTTGGATCATTGTCTTGCTGAAATGTCCACCCTGCTTTCATCTTTATCCTCCAAATATTATAGATGTTGGAATACAGCAGTGGTTCTCAAAGTGGTGGTTGGGAGGGGGTTGCGAGGGGTTGCAGGACAATGTGAAGGGGGGGTTATTATCATTTATATGGTTATTAAACCATAAAAATGACCATATTTTATCCATAACCTACTAAAGAGACAAAAAATAGTTGTTTATAGTTACTAAATAGTTACTATAGTAGCTTATAGTTACTAGTTCTATTGGATTGCAACCCCTAGGGTAATTACATTATATTAAAGACACAGCAATAGCGTCAGATGCAGCAGATTGATTTTATAACACCAGGGTAAACTTTCTGGCCCATTTACAGCACTGACATACATACAAAAAAATTAAACGAAGAATAGACTTGGGTCTATTGGCGTGTGTGCGGCATTGCATGCACTTTCTGTATTTATAACCACCACAGAGGATATATGGGGTCGCGAGTCACTTTTGTCATTTTGGGGGTCGCGGGCTGAAAAGTTTGAGATCCCCTGGACTAAAGCAGCTAATATTAATTTACAACTACAGCGAGATTTCAGCTGCTGTCTCAGCTTTCCATGCCTTTTCCACACCTCCCTTTCTTCATGTGTTCAATAGTTTTTCCGTGTGTCATTTCATTGTATTACACATAACTTAATTTATAAACTAATTAGATTTGTTTTCTTGGCATATATGGATTTCTTTGATTGTTACTAACATGCGGTGAAAATTTCAAGTCAACGGCATCTTTAGAAGTATGTTTTCTGAGGAAAAATGTGACATTCATTACTTATTTCCCATGCTGTGAGTTAGTTGAAATGATCAAGTCAACGTAAACGATTTGTGTTGGGACAACTTGAAGGAATTATGAGGAAGCTGGCATTTTTAACAGTGCAGATTCCACATTTTCTAATAGTTGTATTTTGGTCAGATATTTTCAGATTCTAACAGAGCATACAGTACATCAAGCTGTATAAATGCTATAAATCTCCCTCCTGAGTGTTTTGTGATCCCGGCTCACATATGTGTTACTCTTTCCATTTATGTGCATCTATGAATGCATTTTCCCGACGAACAGAAACGTCGGGAAAACAATAAAATATCGCGTTTCCACCGAAATATTAATCAGCATATCAATTTTCGGGAATAAGGATGATAACTGTGTTGATTTAAATGTTCTGCTTAAATCAGCAGTCTGCTATCAGCTTATTCCTGTCAGCAAAACATGTTTCCTTTGACATTCAAAGACCTTGTCGATTAGAAGAGACTTTTATTCAGTCGTCAAAACTTCATTATTGTGATTTGGAAATGTTTGACTCTAATCTATCGTCTTTACAGTCTTTATCAGGAATATTATGACAGTTTAAAGTTCTGTTTTATTTCTACCGCACATTTTATTGCTGTAGTTGTGCTGAGAGCTACATTGGAAGTAATGTAATGAGTTCATATACAGCGAGGTGCTGGAGAATACTTGTGCTGCAAAACGTATAGGCTATGGCTGTGTTGAAATCATGGCAGTTTTATACTACACACTTTTTATGTGTGTGTGTGTGTGTGTATGTGTGTCTGTGTGTGTGTTGTGAATATACAGATCTGAAAGGAGAAGCAGAACTGCTTTTGTGTACGTTAGCAGCAGCAGCTTGGGAAATATCCTTTACTAATGTAGATTTGCAGCGTTTTGCTAATCTATGTGTGTTTGTGAAAAGTATTTTAAAGCTGTTTATTATGTGCTGATTTATGTAGTTTACTGATAGTTTATGCCACTGGGTTAAAAATGAAAAAGGTCATTGAAAGTTTATATTTCTCTATTCTGAATTTGGGGTTTTAAGCTTTTGGTTTAGAATTTATCGTCGCACCTTATTTTGGTATTGAATTTTGAGTTTCATCTCAAATTTTAGACCTTTTTGGTTTCTAATTTTCTTTTCTCTTGCAATTCAACCTTTTTGATTTAGAATTTTGAGTTTGGTTTCGCAATTCTGACTTTTTTTTATTAATTTTTATTAATTTTAAATTTTAAGTTTTCTCTTAGCACGTAGCACGTTCACCTCACAGCAAGAAAGTCCCTGGTTCGAGCCTTGGCTCAGTTGGTGTTTCTGTGTGGAGTTTGCATGTTCTCCCAGCGTTCGCGTGGGTTTCCTCTGGGTGCTCCGGTTTCCCCCACAGTCCAAAAACATGCGGTACAGGTGAATTGGGTAGACTAAACTGTCCGTAGTGTTTGAGTGTGTGTCTGTGTGGATATTTCCCAGAGATGGGTTGCGGCTGGAAGGGCATCCGCTGCGTAAAAACTTGCTGGATAAGTTGGTGGTTCATTCCGCTGTGGCGACCCTGGATTAATAAAGGGACTAAGCCGACAAGAATGAAGTTT